GTTTGTTTAAAAGATTCAATTATTGTCACGAAAATGAATCAGTTGAAAAAAAGTCTTTTCTCTTAAACAAATTTCACAAAGAAGTTATTAATTTCATGCGGAAAAAAGTTCAGTACATGAAATCCATCGGGTTTCGGGAAGCTTTCAGCAGTTATCCTACGTATTAAGAATACCATTGGATTTGACGTATTGCAGCCATGTCGGCGTCGAACTCGGATCTGCGGTTTAACGAGGAAACGCTTTAACCAACAGGCTACTCGGGGTAGTCTAGACTAACGCCAAGTCTCTGAATATATATAATTTTGATAGTAACAAAGAGACCCATAAAAATTGAAAAGGAGCCCCAGGGAGACCTGAAATTCTGAACCTGAGGAAATCTAGACTTGCTTCATGTAGGGCTTTATCATTGCAGAGAGGGCTTGGCAGTAGGGAAAATAATATGGTTCAGAGACTGTGAGACAGACTCAGGGTAGTCAGGCAGGGTGACTAGATGGCTTGCATGTAGTTGTACTCCGCCCTCATGGAACGTTCTTCATGATATCAACCACAGGTTTATTGTGTCAGATTCGTCCGCCACATGACAGAGATATTGCCAGTGTCGTTACACAACAAACTAACTTAACCAGGTGATGAAATGAACATGCAATTGCTAGACATATGATGTTGTTGTCCTTTCATTACAACTGACTGAACCCGTGAAGATCCGGGTTAGAATTGGTCTTCAGTAACCCATGCTTGTCTGCTGTGAAGATCCGGGTTAGAATTGGTCTTCAGTAACCCATGCTTGTCTGCTGTGAAGATCCGGGTTAGAATTGGTCTTCAGTAACCCATGCTTGTCTCCTGTGAAGATCCGGGTTAGAATTGGTCTTCAGTAACCCATATGCTTGCCGTAAAAGGAGACTAACGGGATCGGGTGGTCAGGCTTGCTGACTTGGTTGACACATGTCATCGTATCTCAGTTACGTAGATCGATGCTCATGCTGTTGATCACTGGATTGTGTGGTTGAGACTCGATTATTTACAAACCGCCGCCATACAGCTTGAATATTGCTGAGAGCGACGTGAAACAACAAATCAGCCAACCAAAACAACTGACGGACCATTTCAACCACTGTCAATGTATATTGTCTCGTAGGAACAGCTGGCCCAGTCGTCTTGGGGTCCCTTGGCCACGCCAGAAACCTATGATCGTGAGTTCGAATCCCGGTTTGTTTATGTTTCTAGGTCTGTGAGCACCACACCTGTGATCCTCACCAAAGTGTTAAACGTGTGAAATCTGTAGCAATTGGGATATTCTGTCTCCCAGACAATAGAGATATACTACTCAAAAGAAGTTAAGGGTCAAGGGTAGAATTCAGCATGACATTTGATTATACATAGCAAACATATAAAACAGAATTTCCAAGCATGAATATGGTTAGGATTGTTCAAATCAAGTCAGATTGATTGGGCAAGTCTAGCCTGAAGGGAACAATTGTTTGTGGCTCATTTTGTATTTGGGATGTTGTGGTTGTTGTTGTTGTTGCTGTTGTTTTTAGATGTTTTATGATGTATATATTTCGGGGACTTCGGGCCTTCCTCTCATTAAAATGAAACTCACTCACTCACTCACTCACTTACCCACCCACTCACTCACTCACTCACCCACGCTTATTTCGTGTGCGCCCGACGAATGAGGGGCGTTACATTATCAAGGCAACATTTATTAAAAACCATTACCGCACAACGTCCATGTTCACGTTGGTTTTTCCATATCATAAATTATTTCTATCCCAAGTACTTTCCTCTCTTGCATCATAATCACTCTGGAATACATGATGAATCATGTTTACGGGACGACTTCTTTGCGACATACCCTGACTGACACCTAACTTGTGTTACTTCACTTTTGAAAATGTTGATATCCTCGAAGAGACTCATAGCACAACTGTTTGTTAGATCTGTGTATCAGAACTAACATTGTAATTCGTGTGGTTTGATCTTTGGATTCCTTCTTTCGTATAAACGACTGTCGCCAGTCCCTAATGCCGTGCCCTCCATGCAATGTTAAAGCACCGAATGAAGCAAGTCAAGTTCAGGAATTTCCCATCTGACTGGGGCTCCTCTTCAACCTAAACGGGTTTATCTGTAACTACCAATATTATATATATTCAGAGACTAAGCGTTATAGTCTGTCATCACAGATCAAAAAAATACTTTAATACATATTTACTAGGGTTTTTTCAATGCATGATCTGGAATTCCTAAAATAACAGAAACCTTTCTATCTATGCATTGAAACTGTGTTAAATTGAAATTGGGATTTTGAGAAAGGACTGTGTTCTACAGACCAGTTCTGTGTGTTGGGTTCATCAAAAGTAATAACTTGTGAAACTTGTTTAAAATCATCTCCATGACCCTCACCCCTGCTGCCAGTAGGTGCATCAACGGCGACATTGACGACGCCTGTCTCTGACAAGAGTTGAACGAAGTCGTGTAAACTCGGGTCGTATGATTTGCTGCATGGCATATCTATCCGACCCCCCTACGCGCACGTGCAGAGGGAGGGGCGTTTTGCAGGGGGAATGCTTCTTCACACAATCCACTCTTTGTGGCGCCGTAATCTCGCCCTGACATCTCACTTCTGCATAGAATAAATCAACACTATGAAAATTGTTTGCGTAATAGGAACGTAAAACATTCTACAAATTCCTTGTTTCTGCCTCTGAAATTTCTGGCAAACCGTAAACAACAATCCTGGGTATAATTGGACACTTGTATTCTAAACACTCGGCAATCTATCCCGCTAATCTAAACTCGAAATTAATTTGTTTGTATACGTGGTTTTTACGGGGTAATTTGTTTACCGTTCCATTTGTGATGATAGAGCGTGATAAGTGCAGTCAGTTTGTGACTCGACATTCCCCTCCACATGCATTCTAACCCAAAACATGGGATATCGTATGGCAACTGCAAACACGTCCTGGAAGTCATCATACACGTCACGCATGCGCCTGGAATTGTTATTTCATTACCCGATACGCTTTGTTGCGCAAGACAATGCCAACAGTGTTCCCGTAAACACTGACGTTTTGTGGTTCTATAAGTCATTAATAACTCGGCAAATATCAACAGAAAACAGACGTAACGAAATCAAATCAAGGGGCTTCTCTGTATAATGTTCATAGTGTCCCATGTTATATATGTGATTTTCTCTGAGCAAATTGTGAAAGATGGCCCAGTCGGCTGTTGCTGTGTAGAGTTGCGTCCCTTAGGCGTGCCAGGAAACTCAGGAATCATGGGCGGATCCAGGAATTTTGGAAGGTGTGTGTGTGTGTGTGTGTGTGTGTGTGTGTGTTTTGAACCTCCTGAACCCCCCATTGACACCTCCAATGCAAAAAGAACAATTTTCAATGTGGTCTTAGGTCATTTTCAAAAAGGCGGGGTTCGAACCCCCTGAAACACCCCCACCCCCACCCCGAGATCCACCAATGGGAATAATGATAAAAATAAGGACATTTGTAATGCCCTGAATTCCGCACCACAGAGGGGCAAGCTCAAAGTGCTACAATCTGATCGTTATTACCCTGCATAAACCAAGCCGCCTGTGAGGCACTAGTTGGTAAATAGTCACATGACTTATCCCACCAGGTACCCATTTCCAGCTGGGTGAACAGAGGCAAGTTGGAACAAACTCACATGCCTAAGGTGAGACCACATGTGCTTCATTGTGGGGCTGGACTGAAGTCCTAGAAACTCTCAGGAGTCAAGCTGCCAAACAGGGTCACCCATCCAAGGACTCTCCATGCCCAACATAGCTTAACTTCAACTGATTTGTGACTGAGCTCTATACACAGGACCACACACCATCATGGTTTTGCACTTATCAACTTTCAAGGTTTGAAAGTATCATGTTATTCACCACTCTGAAGGTTGCAATGGTCCAAGACCTCGAACAATCTTTTCTGGCTTTCCTCCCACAACTGATTTATTGATTAGCTGCCTTACACCAAATCCAGCCAGAACAAAATATATCTCAATTGTTGAAAAGACAATATTTACAACAGTTACACTTCACAATGTTTCTTTGTGCATGTGATCAGAGGCTGTCCTCATTTAAGAATAAGGAATTGTTGTCCAACAGGAGTGGACAGATGGCTGTTCTCCAATACATTGGATTTCTTCAGAACACTCAATCGTGAGGTGAGGTGAGGTGAGGTGAGGTGAGGTGAAATTGGGTTTTACGGCGTGCTTGAGAATATTTTGCTCATATGACGATGTGCATGCGTGTGTATGTGTATGTGCAGCTGCTTGCACTAGCCCAGACTTAAGCTGGTTTTATAGTGCTAGCCCACTGAGATACCATGCCGCAGTGAAGCATGAATACCCCACTCAGACACATTATACGGACTCCGAGCCGACCAGTCCTTGTTGTACCCATTATTGCCGAGAGCCAGACAGGGACCAACAAGTACCATATTTTAACGTCTTTTGGTATGACGCAGTCGGAGATCGAACCCGCGACCTTCCGCTCTCCGGGCGGACGCTCTAACCACTACACCATGGAGGCGGTCACTCAATCGTGAGGTGAGGTGAGGTGAGGTGAGGTGAGGTGAGGTGAGATTAAATGGGACTTAACATTGTGTACATGACTATTGCACTTATACGTGGTTACAAACATTATACAGCATGCATGCATGTGTGCTCTCACAAGTGTGTGTGTTCTAGTCCTGACTCATGTGACATTTACACTGGAAGCCTACTCTGTACTGTGATACCACACAGCAGTTTAACATGAATCCCAACAGAATACAGACTCCCAGCCAGCCAGACCTTGTTTTATCTCCTTAGTGATTAACTCCAGACAGGGGAACAACAAGTACCATCTTATGCTGGTATGATGCAGACAATGGATCAAACCTTCCTGACCACTGTCAAACAATCTATCCACTAGACAACTGCGGTAGTCAACCAAAAGTTGATCACTCCAATGTTGTCAGTAAGAAAAGCAACCAAACAAATATGGATACATGGGTTTATTGTGAAAAATAAACAGTTGTGGTAAACAATCAAAAATTGACCAGTTTTGATTGTATAATGACTTGAATTGATGTGTAAAACTGTAATATGATCAATACAAATCACAGAACAGAGACTTTGATTTGCTTAACAGCTGCAGCTACAGGTAAAAGGTAAAACAGGAATGTAATGGAGTGAGTGAGTTGGGTTTTACTCCGCTTTTAGCAATATTCAAACAATATCATGGCGGAGGGGGGGGGGACACCAGAAATGGGCTTTACACATTGTACCCACATGAGGAATCAAGCTGGGTCTTCGGCATGACGAGTGAACACTTTAACCACTGCCCCGGAATGTAATGGAAGAGTCCAAGGAAATTATACTTTGGCAGTCAGCAAAAATGGTTTGGATTGGTGGAGCACATGCTGATTGTTGTTTAACACTCTCTCAGCAATACTCTTGCCCTGTTTGTAACCCAGTCTCCACCACACAATCCAGTGATCAACATCATGAGCATCAGTCTACACAACTGGGATACAATGACGTGCATCAACCAGACAGCAAGCCTGATCATCTGATCTCATTAATTAACTAATCGCCTCTTACAACACACATTGCTTGCTGATGACAAATCTTCATGGGGACAAATTTAAACAGTGGTTGTCAACAGCACTCCATATAGGTTCTTGGACAAATGTTTCCTGCACAATCCTTACACTTTCATGTTTTAACCTTTTCACTTTAATAATATCCATCTTGAAAAATGCTCCTCATTCCACATTTTGATATATTGCAAATGTCCTTGTATCTTGTGGAAATATTAACACAAGGTATCAACCTTGGGTTAATATCTGTAATAAAACTGACACTTGATCGTAAGAAAAGGTCATATCATATAATGTGAGGAAAATATTAAAAAGGGCCTTATAATATACATATTGCCAGAGAGTTGGTACCAAATTCCATAACAGAAACAATTTTGTTACTACTATATTTCAACAGTTTCTGCCACCTTGTAAACAGAAAACTGATGTGTTTATTAGAAACTAATACAGAATACAATATTATAATCTTGTTATTTTACATGGAAACACATAGTGCTGCTGAATTAATATCAAAACACATGTTACTTCTGTTGATGGGGACAGTTTTCTGTTTTCAACACATGTCACTTAACTTTAATCAGATGAGCTCATCATACCCTTGTAGGATATAATTCTGTTGTCTAATTAACATAAGCCACCATCAAAATATAATTTTTGGTTTCCATAGCAACCCTAATCTGGAGACCAAGATCTGTGACATCTTTTTCTTGCTTTTCCTCCAATTTGTAACATATTTTTTCTGTATTTTGTGTTTATGTTAAGTGTCATTTGTTGCACTTCAAAACAGATAAACCAATCACTATCCTCAGTAAGGCAAAAAGTTGTCATGTGACGGCAGGCTTATGCTGCAAATTGGTGTATTTTAAAGAAGAATTTTACCTTTTTAACAACCCTGACTGACCTACCCTATATTTGGAAAGGCTAATAGGTAACACACATTCTTGTTTTTTCACCTCAAAGATTAGAGCATGAGGGCACATTAAAGTAATTTGAAACTAACAGCCTCGATGCAATCATATGCAGTAAAAATATTTCGTGAAACTGACAGTACTAGACTTATTGATCCGTACTTAATGTATATTTGCCTAGTAAATCAGTCAACAACATGTTTACAAATACATACATTGACATATACTGCCAAGCCGGGATTCATAGAATATGTGTCAAGTCTAGATTACCACATGTTTCTGAAATTGAAGAAAGTCTCCTTTTCATGATATTTTATAAATCTAATTAAGAACAATTTTTTTCTGTAAAATATTTCATTTCAGTGTCTAGATGTTTGTCTAGGATTCAAGTGTCACGGGATTCAGGATTCATGCTTGTTGAGGTAAGACCATGATTGATACAGTGGTCAAGCTGGTTAACACTGTTGATATCAATTGATATCATGTCATTGTATTCCAAAGGAAGTGTTCATTGTTAATAATATCAATGAGTCACTCACTCACAAACTCTTTACTCTTTTGTTCATGGTGAAAGTTTTGATAGTTTTAAGTAAATATAGAAATTCCTCCCGGTGAGGTTTCATATTTCTGTCTCACCCTATGCCATAAGATAACTTAACATAAACAATTCAACGTATACTGGTGTAGGAGTGAGTGAGTGAGTGAGTGAGTTTCACACTACTTAGAACACTATATAACTTACACCATGGCATCGACGTTTAATGTGAGAGCATCATCAAAAAAAATGTTCCAGGTTTTAGACAATGTATTTTATACTCATGAACAAAAGTTGGGTGCTGACAAACCAGGGATCATCAGCATGGGATTCAAACCCATAATCAGAGGATCACAGCACATCTAAGGGACATAACCCTTTATGCCAAAACCTCAGCAACTTTCTAACTAGATCCCAATAACTTGACTTCACAAGCTTTCAAACATGTATAACAGCATCAAATACTGTTCAACCTTTATGCATAAATTTGTAAAATGCATTTTCAGCTTCAAATTCTCCCAAACTCAATTTGATCCAAAATATTACTGAAATTTATTCAAACACTGGAATAATTCTTCTTGTATACAAATAAGTAAACATATTTGAGCAAATAATATATCAAAATATGCAACCTTGGATCAATACTTGCTTATAGGAATAAATCCACTCGTATACATCTACAGGAAGACAATGGTAGACATTATGAAGCAAGATAACTCACTAAAGTATTGTAAGAACGTTTAGGAAATGTAAATTAAGTCAAGTCTGAATATAAACATAAAATGTTGATTCTTGTGAAAAGCCTTGGAATGATTTCTTTATGGAAGCTCTGTAGGTATAATTATATAAATGTATGAGAGGGCACCTTTTATCTGGGATAATAAAGTTAGAGATTTTATAACTGGGTTCACACAGTGTCTGGTTCACATAAAATGCAACAACCTTTATTTTAAGAGATATAAGATGAATGACTGGAATCGTGGATATAAGAACAAGAATAAAGAATATTTGGACACAGCAGTTCTGTCTGAGGGCAAATCAAGGAAGGTTGTTCCATTTCAACCACATACATGTACATTGAACTTTAGGCCCAGGACTTTTGTAAACCAGCTCATGACAAATATAAGACCTTGCAGTAATGTTTAAGAGGTACAACCTGATTAGAATATTGATTTATTTCCTTTGTTTTATGTATGGTATATCTAAACTCCAAGAAATACAGTGACAGAAATCCACCAGATAGATAGTTGGAACAGGTCTCTTGGTTCCAATAGTTTGTGGCAATCTTGTATTAGAAGTAGGTCCTGAAAACAAAAAAAAGCCAGCATATTTCAGTGTTTCTTAAACTAAATGTAGCTACAGGTAGCATAATTAATAAAGGTGAGGTTCATGTTTTAACTGGTTCACAGGTAATGCCATCACTATAATAAATTAAAGGTGTGTGAACACACATAAATTCTGAAAGGTAATCATATTGATTTTGCTCAAAACATATATGTAGTCAGAGTTCCAATGGCAGATCCAGAAGTTGGGGATCATGGGCTTTGAACCCCCTTCTTGAAATAACATGATATAATTATGGACCCCTAATGACAAAGAAGCCTTGTTTTATTGCAGTATCAGTGTTTACCACTGGATGGTAACAACCTCCTGGTTTGCCTTTTTCCAATCCAAAGTGGCAAAATACTGATCAAAGTAACCTCAACTCACCTAAGTCATAATCAAGCAACACAAACCTACACCACCCAACCCCTCAAATTTGCCCACATCAATAGCCTTCTCCAACAACACACACCAATCCCACCAAACTTCACACCACCTCACCCCGCCCAACCCCACCAATTTGACCACATCAATAGCCTTCTCCAACAACATACACCAATCCCACCCAACTTCACACCACCTCGTCCCGCCCAACCCCATCAATTTGACATCAATAACCTTTCTTTAACAACACACACCACCTCACCTCACCCTACACCACCTCACCTCACCCTACATCACCTCACCCTGCCCAACCCCACCAATTTGCCCACATCAATAGTCTTATCCAACAACACACACCACCTCACTTCACCCCACACCACCTCACCCCGCCCAACCCCACCATTTTGACCACATCAATAGCCTTCTCCAACAACACACACCACCTCACCTCACCACACACCACCTCACCCCGCCCAACCCCACCATTTTGATCACATCAATAGCCTTCTCCAACAACACACACCAATCCCACCCAACTTCACACCACCTCACCCCGCCCAACCCCACCATTTTGATCATATCAATAGCCTTCTCCAACAACACACACCAATCCCACCCAACTTCACACCACCTCACCCCGCCCAACCCCACCAATGTGACCACATCAATAGCCTTCTCCAACAACACACACCACCTCACCTCGAACCACCTCACCTCGCCCAACCCCACCATTTTGACCACATCAATAGCCTTCTCCAACAACACACACCAATCCCACCCAACATCACACCACCCAACCCCACCAATTTGACCACATGAATAACCTTCTCCAACAACACACGCCACCTCACCTCACCCCACACCACCTCACTCCGCCCAACCCCACCATTTTGATCACATCAATTGCCTTCACCAATAACACACACCAATCCCACCCAACATCACACACCACCTCAACCTACCCAACACCACCAAGTTGACCACATCAATAGCCTTCTCCAACAACATACACCAATCCCACCCAACTTCACACCACCTCACCCCGACCAACCCCACCAATTTGACCACATCAATAGCCTTCTCCAACAACACACACCACCTCACCTCACCCCACACCGCCTCACCCCGCCCAACCCCACCATTTTGATCACATCAATAGCCTTCACCAATAACACACACCAATCCCACCCAACATCACACACCACCTCACCCCACCCAACACCACCAAGTTGACCACATCAATAGCCTTCTCCAACAAGACACACCAATCCCACCCAACTTCACACCACCTCACCCCGCCCAACCCCACCAATATGACCACATGAATAGCCTTCTCCAACAACACACACAAATCCCACCCAACTTCACACCACCTCACCCACCCAACCCCACCAATTTGACCACATCAATACCCTTCTCTCCAACAACACACACCAATCCCACCAAACTTCACAACTTCACACCTCACCTCACCACCACCCCCAACCCCAACATTTTGACTACATCAATAGCCTTCTCCAACAACACACACCAATCCCACCCAACTTAACACCACCTCACCCGCCTAACCCCACCAATTTGACCACATCAATAACCTTTCTTTAACAACACACACCACCTCACCTCACCCCTACCCACCTCACCACCCTCCAACCACCAATTTGCCAACATCAATAGCCTTCTCCAACAACACACACCACCTCACCTCACCCCACACCACCTCACCCCGCCCCAACCCTACCATTTTGACCACATCAATAGCCTTCTCCAACAACATACACCACCTCACCTCACCACACACCACCTCACCCCACCCAACCCCACCATTTTGATCACATCAATAGCCTTCTCCAACAACACACACACACCAATCCCACCCAACTTCACACCACTCTCACCCCGCCCTAACCCCACCATTTTGATCACATCAATAGCCTTCTCCAATAACACACACCAATCCCACCCAACATCACACACCACTCACCCCCAAGTTGTAAGTTGGACCACATCAATAGCCTTCTCCAACAACACACACCAATCCCACCCAACTTCACACCACCTCAACCCGCCCAACCCCAACATTTTGACTACATCAATAGCCTTCTCCAACAACACACACCAATCCCACCCAACTTAACACCACCTCACCCCCAACCCCACCAATTTGACCACATCAATAACCTTTCTTTAACAACACACACCACCTCACCTCACACCACCTCACCTCACCCTACACCATCTCACCCCGCCCAACCCCACCAATTTGACCACATCAATAGCCTTCTCCAACAACACACACCACTCACCTCACCTCACCCCACACCACCTCACCCCTGCCCAACCCCACCATTTTGACATCAATAGCCTTCTCCAACAACACACAACACCTCACCTCACCACACACCACCTCACCCCGCCCAACCCCACCATTTTGATCACATGTATAGCCTTCTCCAACAACACACACCAATCCCACCCAACTTCACACCACCTCACCCCCGCCAACCCCACCATTTTGATCATATCAATAGCCTTCTCCAACAACACACACCAATCCCACCCAACTTCACACCACCTCACCCCGCCCAACCCCACCAATGTGACCACATCAATAGCCTTCTCCAACAACACACACCACCTCACCTCACACCACCTCACCTGGACCAACCCCACCATTTTGACCACATCAATAGCCTTCTCCAACAACACACACCAATCCCACCCAACTTCACACCACCTCACCCCCACCAATGTGACCACATCAATAACCTTTCTTTAACAACACACACCACCTCACCTCACCACACACCACCTCACCCTGCCCAACCCCACCAATTTGACCACATGAATAGCCTTCTCCAACAACACACACCAATCCCTACCAACTTCACACCACCTCATCCCGCCCAACCCCACCATTTTGACCACATCAATAGCCTTCTCCAATAACACACACCACCTCACCTCACCCCACACCACCTCACCCCGCCCAACCCCACCATTTTGATCACATCAATAGCCTTCTCCAATAGCACACACCAATCCCACCCAACATCACACCACCCAACCCTACCAAGTTGACCACATCAATAGCCTTCTCCAACAACACACACCACCTCACCTCACCCCACACCACCTCACCCCGCCCAACCCCACCAATTTGACCACATCAATAGCCTTCTCCAACAACATACACCAATCCCACCCAACTTCAAACCACCTCACCCCGACCAATTTGACCACATCAATAGCCTTCTCCAACAACACACACCACCTCACCTCACCCCGCCCAACCCCACCATTTTGATCACATCAATAGCCTTTTCCAACAACACACACCACCTCACCTCACCACACACCACCCAACCCTACCAAGTTGACCACATCAATAGCCTTCTCCAACAACACACACCACCTCACCTCACCCTACACCACCTCACCCCGCCCAACCCGACCAATTTGCCCACATCAATAGCCTTCTCCAACAACATACACCAATCCCACCTAACTTCACACCATCTCACCCCGACCAACCCGACCAATTTGATCACATCAATAGCCTTCTCCAACAACACACACCACCTCACCCAACTTCACACAACCTCACCCCGCCAAACCCCACCAATTTGACCACATCAATCTCCTCCCCTGAGAACACAAACCACCTCACCTCACACTCCCCTACCTTGCACAAAATTCTGCCTCTTGAGTTCCCTCATTTCAAACCACTAGTACAGATCTCCTTGTCTTGATGTACCTTTTACTAACGTCAACAAAAAACTAAGTACATTCATTCCATTTATTCTTTTTTCTGTAAGCCCTTTTGATTTTTTTTGTTATTAACACTGACCCACTATGAGCCCCAATGGGCAGATTTATCTGCCTTCAGCAGGAATAAGGTTAAAGCTACTTACACAGCATCTTCATCATTGAGCAGTCCTCCCTTGGCCACAATCACCTTCACAGAACCCTGGGGAAACATTACATACATAGTGCTGTATGGACTTGATGAACTAATAAACAGTCACTTGGGAAACTAATACTTTTATCAGTGGTGATAAGCAAATGTAAATGTGATGTGTGATAAATAATAACACAATCTAATTGGTCTCCTAAATATGATTAAAACTACAAAAACTACAAGCCTGTGTTATTGAGTATATACAGGGAAATTCTTTTAGAATAGAGCTTTGTTGAACTTTGTGTGCTGGCGAATAGGTGCCTTGCTTTGAGAGTTTGGGTTTGAATTCTAGATGGGACTCAATTCAAAGAGTACTAGAATCTGTATTTCACTGAGAAAGTGTATCCAAAATATAACATCCGTAACCTGTTGAAGTGGGCAACCCCTGGTAACTGTTTGTTGTAAGCTTGTTTAGTGAAACCAAGTGATAACAATACACTACATGGATACAAGTCTGTTCTTTACATGTGACTATAATCTATGTTTCATTCTGTCTTAATCAACAAGGATTGACTTGTTTAGCAGAGGTGTTATGTTCAGTGACGTTCAGGAGCTTCAATCCACACAAACTGGGTACAACTATATATATCAACCAAGTCAGCGAGTCAGACTATCATATTCTGTTTGTTGCATATACAAGCATATTTTGACCAATTCTAATTTGGATCTCTAGAGTTTTTACAACATGTTACCCATGAAGATACGGGTTAGAATTGGTCTTCAGTAACCTATGCTTGTCGTAAGAGGTGATTAACGGGATCGAGTGTTCAGGCTTGCTGACTTGGTTGACATATGTCATCGTATCCCAATTGCATAGATCGATGCTCATGCTGTTGATCACTAGATTCTCTGTTCCAGACTCGATTATTTACATACTGTCGCCATATAGCTAAACAACAAACAAACCAACCAACCAACCAAACAGGTAATGGTACTTTTCAGTATTTGCTATTTCTATCTAGGATCTCATCTTTTAAGGTGAGTGAGTTTAGTTTACGTCGCACTCAACAATATTCCAGCTATAGGCCAATCTTTTAGAAATTATCCCTTCATCCAACCACCATCCACCCCTCATATGAGAGGTTGATGATGTTACATACCATGTTGTTGGCTTCGGCTTCGCGGAGGATGTTGAGGGCCTGGGCTGACGTGAGGTCAAGGAAGCTGCGACCACTCACCATCAACAGCTGGTCCCCTTTCTCTATCCCACCTGCAGACAGACGTTATGGCAGTTGGGACTAACTATATTCATTGTGTCTGTTAGGGAGGACAAGGGTCCTGAGAATATTTTCAATTCCACTGCTATAAGACTTGGTCCTGAGATGTTTCAAGATTATTTTCACAACCAGTGAACATGGGATTTTTAAAAAAACAAACAGAATATTTTCATTACCACTGCTTTAAGACTGGGATTATTGTAAAAGAAACCAGAATATTTCCACTACTGATGCTCCAAGACAGAGCTTGTTTAAAAAAAACAAAACTTTCACTACTGCTACTTCAAGTCTTTCCTAGAAAGAACAAAATATTTTCATAACATCTGCTTAATGACTGTGAGTTTTGTAAAAACTCCAATTTTCAGTTCCATTGCTTTAAAACATACAAGTGTTATCTCTGCCTAGTGAGCAGATTTTTGTGTGTGAGAAAGTTTATAAGTTCAGCATAAACTTCCCTAGACTTAAGGAAACAACAGTTTCTTTACCACTGCTTGTACTGCTTGTTACTTAGTAGAGTTACCTACCCTGTCTCTCGGCAGCCCCATAAATGTCTGCCACAAGGATCTTGTCAGCCAATGGGGTTCCGATTCCACCTTCAACTCCGATTCCCAGGGACTCACTCTGAATAGATGTTGTTACAGTATTCCATTATTATAGACTGAATTCAAGAATTAGCGGGTGTGGAGTACCAAAGTCACAGACAGAACATGAAATGAAATTTTGCTCTCAAAAGAAAATAGAAATGAATTTGAAGGTGATAATTCACTTTGAAAGTTTAGCTGTATGTTATTCATACCTTATAAAATGATTACTGTGGTCGGTTTCAAATGGAAAATTACAGGTATCAAACTCAAAGATTAAAATCTCTAAATTGAAAACACACCACATTTGAGTTACATCTTGCATCTCATAAATACCAAAGTTCCAACAAAACTTCCTCAGTCTACTCAGGCTTCTGTAATTATCTGCTGCAAAATATTTTTAAAATGGTATAATTTATTCTCAAACATATACTCAGTGTCATTAATGAAAGGTCAAGCTATTAGTATTCTATTCCTGAAAAGTTGAAAAAAGCTTCGTTTTTCTTTGACATATATACAACTGAATGTTTTACAAACTTTCTTAACAGTATGGAAAAACACATCAGGCTGACGTTATTATTACGTTCTTTAACGTCTGATACATTCTGTTACAAATGGCACATTTTTTATTCATATTATCAATATGGAAATCCACTTGCCACTTAATGTCAATGATTTGCAGATGCAAGTCGCTCGATCCATGGAAACCCGTGAAAGTCCGGGTTAGAATATTTGATCTTCAGTAACCCATGCTTGTCGTAAGTGGCGACTAATGGGATTGGGTTGTCAGGCTCGCTGACTTGGTTGACGCGTAATTGGTTCCGAATTGCGCAGATCGATGCTCATGCTGTTGATGGCTGGTTTGTCTGGTCCAGACTCGATTATAGCTGGAATATTGCTGAGTGCGGCGTAAAACTCACTCACTCACTCACTTACTCTATTCATGGAAAGTGGAGGACAATACACATGCACTGATGCCTTTTCACTGTCGTTCACTGTTCAGGTACCTGTTTCAAATCACGGCTTAAAATGAGATGTTTATTTGACACTTGCTGAAAGGGGTCAGGCTATAGGCTGTTTAGAATCTGGTCAAACTCAGCAGCATGTTGCTGTCTGCTTTAATGTGAGTCAAAGTGCTATTGGTAGACTGTGGCAGAAATTTCAAGCCAATGGGTCCATGGAATATGCACGTCGACCAGTTCGCCCCAGAGTCACAGTCTGAGATGATAGGCACATGATTAACTCGGCGTTATGTAACAGATTCCTTAACACAGCACATCTTCAGACAGAATACTTCAATGTTAACAATGTAAGGATATCCAGGAGCACCGTTCGTTGGGGTTTATGGGCAGCCGGACTCTGCTGTAGGCGACCTGCAGTTGGTCCACCACCATGTCACAGGCAGGCAAATTTGTGATGAGTAGACATCATGGCCGCTGGTCTTGTGTGCTCTTCACAGAGGACAGCAGATTCAACTTATCCTTCCATGATGGTCGGCAGAGCATTTATCGTCGCAATGGAGATGCAACTGTGGCCATGCATAACCTATTAGGCGGGGGTCGGTCATGGTTTGAGCAGGGATAACTCCTGCTGGATGTACTCCACTGCACATGGTCGACGGTAATCGTATCGGACAGAGTTATCGGGATGAGATTCTGGCTCCTATAGCAGTACCATTCCTGCACGCTATGCATGGCTTTTATGGTCGACACTCTTTACTGCAAGACGACAACACCAGGCCTCATAGGGCCAAGATTGTTCCTTAGGCAGCAGAGTGTACAGCGAATGGAGTGGCCAGCATGCTCGCCAGACCTCAACACAATTGAGCATGCCTGGGATGAACTCAGTCCACGTGTGTACACACGTGACGTGACCCAGCACCAGTGGACTCCGCAGAGCACTAGTAGAGGAATGGAATGAGATTCTGCAAGCTTTCTTTATGAACTTCACAAGAAGCATGAGAACAAGGTGCACCTGTGTCTTGAATGACAGAGTGTTTCATGATTGTCATTTTCATTTTGGGGGTTGGTCTATACAACTGATGTTTGCTGGAGCTGTTTGAACTTTTTGTGTGTATGCGACAATGTGTCAAGTTTGTCAACACATTAAACATTATGATGACCCTCTTAGTTCTATTATGTCTGAGAGACATTTCTTTACATGTGCTATATATCATTTGACCCTTTAGTAATGATGCCTTGTATATATTATGAAACAACTCATATTGTAAAAGTGAGACATTTCTCATTATATAATGATGTCACAAATGATGTATAAAAAAGATGCTTCTGACCAGTCAGGGTCTGCGAAGATCTGGGTTAGAATTGATCTTCAGTAACCCATGCTTTTCATAAGAGGCGTCTCACAGGATCGGGGGGTCAGGCTCGCTGACTTGAATGACAAATGTCATTGAATCACAAGTGCGTAGATCGATGCTCATGCTGTTGATCACTGGATTGTCTGGTCCAGACTCGATTATTTCCAGACCCCCGCAATATAGTTGGAATATTGCTGAGTGTGGCGTAAAACTAAACTCACTCACTCACTGACCAGTCAGAACTTACCTCCCCTACTCCAATGGTGATCACACTCAGATCCTTCCCATCTGACACCTCAGGGGGAAACTGCACAACAAGGCAATTAGAAGAAATAGTCAAATTGGAAGCAAAATATGTAACAACTAAACATTCCCTATTCTGTCTTGTACTTAAAGCTATCTGATACAAGGCACATGGGAAGCGGTATTAGCCTTAAAATAAACACAACTGTGTCAAATAAATCAGCCATCTTGGTTAACATGGGTTGTCTCCCTTGTTCTGGCATAGTGACAATGGGACACGATACAGTCTTGTCAAAAATGATAAAATAAGATAATTGTTGACTATCACTTGTCTAAAAAATGAACACATTGAAAGATTTTTTAATGAAATAGGTTTCCAATATAACAGAAAGCAGCTTTATAAACTAGCCAAAGCCTAGTCTATTTTCTTTGGAGTTTTTTAAATTCAGGTTCTGTGGAAAAGACAAGTCTCAGATCTTATTCTGTATTGACAGTATTCCCATCCTGGCCTATGAATAATTCAATAAGTCTTGAACAGGAAACTAGAGTCTAATATTATAACAAGTACCAATTTGTCAACCTGGTCACATACCGAAAGTATCAAATCCTCGTTTTTATGAACTGGACTCTCTGTGGGCTTTCTCCCAGCATGGTTCCTCATGGGCTACAGAATTCTTTGAAGAAACATTAACATGGAATATTATCAGATAGTTGTGCCACTTACCAGAGAATAAGGATTCTGTATGTCTTCCATGTTGGTGAAGGTGGCCATGTTGCTAGGCCCGAGGAGAGTTGGCCCCATATTCTTGGCTTGACGGGCAGCTAAGATAGCCGCCTTCCCACCAAGCTGCACAGGCTGAAAGGGTAAGTTTAGTTTCACACCATTTTTAGTAATATTCAAGCAATATCATGGTGGAGGACACCAGAAATGGGCTTCACACATTGTGCCCATGTGGGGAAATCAACCTGAATCTTCAGCATGACGAGGGAAAGCAAATCACTAAGCTACCCCACTGCCCCTCAGGCTGAAAGAAGCACACAAACATTCAGAAATACATAGTCACTCCTAAAGATACCAGAGTATATATTTCATAAAATGACCACTCCCCATTCCATTCTCATCCTTCACATTCCTTTCCAGGAAATGATATACACCCCATTCAGATTTATGTCATACCTGACGTGAGAATGTCATTTCTTCATGCCAATCTTCAGTCGGAGTTTCAACCTGGTTTGGAGCCTCAGTGTCAGCAACAGCATCACTCTCACTTGACCATGCTGAGAATGAGGTCATAGCCTCTAGTTCTTCTGGGGGAGGAGGTGGTGGGAGGTGGGGCTCCTCCTGTGGTGGCTGTTGGTGGGGTGTTTCAACCATCACAGTTGTCATGAATTTTGGTCGGTTTGATTCTGTGAAAACAAAACTTTGAATCATAAATACACTATATACTAAAACTGGCAAACATACTCCTTGGAGTTTGAATATGACAAACAGTAAACTACTGTCTGTAACAAACTAAAGGGGTCAATTTGAGTTCATTATAACCAATGTGTGCAGGCCATTTCTGGTGTCCTCTGCCGTTATATTGCTGGAATATTGCTAAAAGCGTTGAAAACCATACTCACTCACCTAGATATAGTGAAACCTAATTTACCCAGATTTAAGATTTCCATATATTCTGCTATAATTAGAGAATATGATATAAGCCATATTTCCCTATATCCTTGTGTATAAATGTGTATAAATGTCTCACTGAGATGCTGCTGAATCAGCTCTTCTTGATCCAACGAAGGAATGTCTGGTGGCTCAGGAGTGCTGCAATACAACAAACATATTCATCATATCTGGTCATGATATACGAGGACTGAAGACATTTTCCAGAGAGAAAAAGATACTGTTTTCTTTAAAACAATTTTAATGGACACAGTTACCATTTTTCACTCATCAAACTTATAAACTTTAAAACTCATGTGTATTCAATATATTTTTCTTATGATAATTTTTGTACAAGAAAATGCATCAATTACTTGTATATTACATCATACTTGCTGTTCTGTTGACGACAATTATACTATGAGATCTTGAGCAAAACAAAACCACAAAATAGTTGTGACTTATCAACACACAAACAAAAGCATCTATCAGAGCTTCCTAACAAACCAACAGAACCATGCCAATAAATAAGTGATTGAATAAGTGAGGGATTATGTCCACAATGATACAGCTATATCATGGTGTCCTGAAATTAATCAAATCTGGACTAGAACAACCAGTGGCCGATGTCATGAGGCACTATCCAGGCAGTTGGGTGCACTGGTGCCACACAGGCAGGTCACACATTGCAACCAGACTGATCTCTTTTTTGTTGATTCTGACAATAAGCACAAGCTCATTCTGCACTAATTAACAAATGCCAGAGACAATATACCAATATAATATTGATATATTTTCTCTGCTAATGATAATTAAAATTTACATAATAACTAACCTACAAATACAAAACATAATCTGACTTCCAGTTCTACAAATTAATTCATCTATAAAGCACAGTCATAATTTGGGTACAATAATAACTACTGCTTTACTGAAAATAGGAAATTAGCAAATTCCTAATAAATCTACTGTTACTATCTATACACCACACAGTGTATGACAACATCAAATGAGAACCAAACTGGTATTCCATCTACACTCACCCCGTTCGTCACCAAATTGTGAACCTCTTCTTATACAATACATAACAGCACACACTTCAAACACTGAGTCCTTGAGTTCAACTAAAATTTACCATATGTCATGTTTATTGTTTAACGGGGCGGTGGGGTAGCCTAGCGGTTAAAGCGTTTGCCTGTCATGCCAGAGACCTGGGTTCGATTCCCCACATGGGTACAATGTGTGAAGCCCATTTCTGGTGTCCCCCTCCATGATATTGCTGGAATATTCGTAAAGGAGTGTAAAACTAAACTCACTCACTCATTATTGTTCAACACAATATTAGCAATATTAGAGATATACAATGGGTATCTGTTAATAAAAAGTCTGGACCAGACAATCCAGTGATGGACATCATGATCATTACCTCATAAAGTAAGGATACAATAATCAACCATTTCCAGATCCTAGCCAAACTATCCAGAGCCCTGTTTCACAGAGCGATCATAGCGTTATGACTAGCACATCTCCTATACGTTAACATGAGTTACGACAGTCGTAGGACTATGATCGCTTTGTGAAACAGGACCCAGTTGGTTGCCTCTTATGACAACAGGTTTCTGGGATGTTTTTTTTACCCACAACTTCAATGGATCCATGTGTATCAACATAAAAGTATATAATATGGTTGACAAACTGACACTGAGAAAATTAAACACAACCCTGACAACTTAAGATGTCATCACTTCGCCTCCTACAATTTGATGCTGGTACTATGGTCATGCAATCAGTTATATTTAGCAGTGGGTGTATCTCAAATGAAGTCATGAGTGCTTTAAATACTACATGTGCAGGGTTTGTATCTTTTAGTCCACTGGAGGTAATTACAAATACAGCACACACTGCTAAGCATGGCTGCCTACAGTCACATGACTGAAGACCCTCGTCCACACTGTAACCATGTGATCAAAACTAAATGATTGTTATCGCTAGAAAAATGAATATTTCTTGAATAGCACACTTTGCAATTTTTGTATTACTGTAAATTATATTCCTTATAGTTGGAATTGCTCTTTTTAACTTTTCCCTAGTAATCATCAGAACACATACACCTACATACACAAGTTTAAAACACAGCCTAGTCATCCCATCCTCTGTGATCCACGGAATTATATGTCAATTCTAGGTTGATATATACCCTGGACCCGATTGCTCACAATAATTTTATTTTGACTTGTTAGAATGACATGATGACAAGATAGTAATCCAACAAATTCTCGCATATAACAGATAATACAAGATAGCATATAAAACATCCCTTCCCTACCTTAATATGCAGAAAAACATATTGTCTAGCTAAAACAACATTCCTAAGAATCTTGTGATCAGATTTAATGTACCAAAGGCTTTCTCCTACAACATATACATAGTCAGTTCTATTATACCTGGACCTGAAACTCGTATAGAAGATTCAAGTTCCATGTTAAGATGGTGATAAGAAAGAGGGAGGTGATATCAATTCCAAAACTTTAGGTGTGATTGCTCCAGGGAATTTATAATAGAATGGAGATATAATACTTTGGAAAATTCCTAATGGTTCCTTATTTGTGAGTTGGCAATGCAGATAAGTTGCTAAATCATAACTACTATGACATCTATTCTGAAACAACTCAATCTTTCACTGTAGAACAGGGCAACATCAGATGAGAGTATTTATCTGTACTTATTTATTTCTTTAAAGATCACAACAAATGAGAAAAAGATGACAAACATTTCTTTTAAAACAACAGTGAAATCATAACATAAAATTCTACACACTTCTAAACAATGCAGTGACTTTGACAAAATGTTTGTATTTATCTTTGTTTATTTCCATATCAATAAGAAAAGTAAATACATCTTTCTGTAAATGCAGAAAAATCTTCTGATGAGTTATTTTCACTTCAAGGTTCCATAGATGTCAGAAAGGAGATATTTAACTGAACTATGAGTTTTCACTGATTTAGAGACACCTTCTTAAATCTCTGACGTGTGCCAATCAAAGGGAGAGCACTCTTATGAAACATGTCCACAAATAAGACTTTCATCTCAGATTCATGCATACAGCTGATGGCAATCATTGCTTTCATCACTGGTTTTGCATAAAAATCTAATATATTCTCAAAGGATATTGATAATTTGTTCTGGGTGACTAAACCCACATCAAAAGCATTCATTAACTTCTAACAGTGGAAAGATTAAACTGAAATGAAAAAATATTTAATTCAGGGTGGTAGACAAGAGACACAATCTTATAATATTTTGACCCCTACCCCTATCAAACACACAACAGAAATTTCAAATTGTCTTACTGGTTTTCAAAATACATATCTGAACTTGTCTTGTCAACCTCTTTAAGCCAGATTCGATGGTCTAACAATTTAAAAATAATGACAATAATTAACACAGCATGTTTTCATTTACATTTAAATTTACACTCAGTATAGTGAACACATAAAAAGAACTTTCCAAATTTCATTCTTGTTTGTTTGTTGGTTTGAATCACTTATGAATAAGTATTCTCTGTATTGTTTGATAAGTTGCATCAGATGCATGTATTTCTTTATACAAGGGGCTATCAAAAGGATTTGAGCCTAAAATTTAAGAAACTTACTCAACTGACACAGTCAATTGTAAAGGGAAATTATTGAATATGAAAAGGACACAAAACATCATTTAGTTTTCTGTCACTGCCAAAAATAAATTAGTATTTTCTCGAAACTTCTGTTGAGGGTTGAAAAACCTTGATATTGTTAATTGTACGTTATACACACATAATTTTAAGCATCACCTACTTTACTACTCCTTGACAAATAAAATACATAAATTTGCACCAATGTCATCACATTCATTAAGTGAAAATAACATTACAGATAAAACACTGGGACTGTGATATTTGGACCTGAACATGTCTTGACAAGCACTGAACAACACATAGCTGATTTGACATTATATTTAGGAATGTAAGAACATGGCTGCTTCTACAAGACAATAAGGTACTATAACCAGGCTATTTAGAATTGAAAATGTAATACACATTTGATAAACATTTAAGGAAAATCTGAAGTCGAGTTAGGAAGGGTCAGTGTACTTGGAAACGGTCACCCTAAGGAAACAGGACTTCAGTGATGCCAAAGCTCAAGGCACTCATTGCACTGTCACTTGTTTCTATGGTTCCATCATCACCATTATCATCAGCACTGTTCTACGGTACTCAGCTCCGCACAGATATATATCTGACATCACAGCAGAAGCCTCACAGCCACAGCACATATTAACACACATCCCACTTAGCTGAGTAGGGAATAATGGCCATTGCCCAATCAGAATCTGAAAACATGGTCAATATTTCTCATATCTGCTACCATCAGATGCAGTTGAGAGGACACAAACAATGGTGTTGTAATATTCTGGGAGATATGATGGGGCTAATGGGGACCCATAGCTTTGTGCAGTGAAAGCTAGAAAAAGAGACTGGAACATTTTTCATTATCCATCACATTTCATTTGGAATCTAACAAGGTTAGTGAAATATGTTGAACACTGCCTGAAAAACATTTCTGTCACATCTAAAGTGGGTCATATTTCTTTCTGATCTTCATGATCTCAAATCTCTATAACCAATGTGCCAGTATAAAGTAATATTTCACTCAGTGTACATACATAAGAAACATTGATTTACATGTAATAATTACATTAAATTCTCATTGTTTCATTCTAACCACTTTCCCAAATGTCATTGAAAATCTATTTCTTGCAATACTATTCAGATTTTACATCAATTTAGGGAATTTTTTTCAAAAAAGGTTTTATATGTTGTTTCAGATTTACTTAAGCCATAATTTCAGATTGCATGATATCAACAGTTTCTGATCATTATATTCCAAGCATTGGTCCTGAAACCAATGATCAGTATAACACCACACAATGTGATAACAGGCTATGTCTCAGGACCTCACCTCATCATCTGACTCATGATGCTGTTTTTTGTTTGTTTGTTTTTTAAGGCTGCACTCAGCAATATTCCAGCTATAGGGCAGCGGTCTGTAAATAATCCAGTCTGGACCAGACAGTCTAGAGACCAACAACCTGAGCACAGATCTATACAATATATGTGTCCACCAAGTCAGCGAGCCTGACCACCCCTTGTGACAAGCATGGGTTGCTGAAGATCAATTCTAACCCGAATCTTCACGGGCTACTCATGATGCAATGTTAGGTGAACTTTTGACACATGATGTACAAAACAGATCAATGATAATTTCATCATTCAAATGGTTCTCCCTCAAAGAACTGCCAATGATAAATAAGAAACATCATCTGAACTTGGGATATTGCTCCCCTTTCTAGTTGTTTTCACACATACACACCAACCCACTTCAGACAGGATGTGTACACTGCGCCCGTCTTGTCATCTCCATAGAGACTGTAGAGAGGTCTCGTATCAGCATCACTTCACACAGGACTTAGGTAGATTAGTACTTTGCTTGGAAACCTTCTTAGTACACACGCCACCGTGTGGACAAATACTACAGGGAACAATTTCATGTACAGGGACATTACTCTGCATATAAAAAGCGTTAAAACTGATGTTTGTTCATCTGGACGATTTCATAACACAGTGTCCAGATTGGCAGGGTTACACTATAGCTTAGAATGAAGAATGAGTCCATCTATTTCTTAGCTACCATAAAACAATGTAAGTATATATATCCAGAACTACAAAACTGCCACGTTAGTGCAAAATATTGTTAGTTTGGTACAATGGCGATCACCAGGATCTCACTGTAAACATCAAGCCTGGCATATCTCTACTGAATGTTCCTAGCCCTGATCATCATGATGGATGTCTAATAGTAAACATGGTCATCAAACTTGACCCGTCGTTTCTGCACATCGTAACCGTACCTGCTGCTCACAACCTGATTGGTCTCTTGGATAGTACGAAACGATGTCCGTGAATCAGGCGCAGGAGTAGCTATAGGCTCCTCAGACACAATAGTAGGCTTAAAACTGGCAGCTGGCTCTGGCTTCCTCTGTCTCTGTCGGCCATGTTGGAACAATGGCAGCCCCTAAAACATATTGATTGCTCTCATATTGTCGTTTGTTAAAATAGGACATGTATATATGTTCATAATGCTACACTGGGCAATATTCCAGTTATATCATATTATAGAAACCAGTAAATAATCAAGTCTGGACCAGACAAATCAGTGATTGTTACTGTGAGCAATAACCAAAGTTGAACAGGGGACAATGACACACAATCAACCATGTTACTTGATCCAATAAGTTGCGTCTAGGCACAATCATTAGTTGCATGGGAAGTATTCTAATCCAGTATCGAAACAAGTACTATTGTAAACAAACGTCCTGGAAGGTGACAAATCTCCTTGGCCCCCACAAATTAGATGAAAGATCAAATCATCACACTGTTTAATCTGACTACCTTTTCTGTCCAAATACAAAATTAGTCAAAGCTTGTACTAGCCCAGACTTAGGCTGGTTTTATAGTGCTAGCTAACTGAGATACCATGCTACAGCTAAGCATGATTACCCCACTCAGACACATTACACTGACTCTGAGCAGACCAGTCCTTTTTTAAAGTCCATTAATGCCTAGCACCAGGCAGGGACCAACAAGTACCATATTTTAACGTATTTTGGTTTGACACGGCTGGGGACAGCCTGCAACATTCCGCTCTCTGGGCGGGCGCTCTAACCACTACACCACGGAGGCGGTTAATTTTGTTAGGCACACACCAACATCAAAGTTAAAGTTGTTGCTATGGAAATGGAAACACCATAAATTCTAATAATCTCTACATAACAAAAGGAACCAGGTGACTTTCTGGTCTTGTGTTTGAAAAATGTCATGAAAATTACAGATTAGTTTTAGAGGCATATTCCAGACTATCACACCAACATGAACAGTGTCAAACTGGTTGCTATGGAAATGGGAAAAAAAAAATAATTAAATTCTAAAAATTCGAACTAACCTGTAGAGGTTTAAGATTCTTTGAATATATTCCTCCTTGGGGTACTTATAAGCATTTAAATGTCCATTTAAATTCCCTACGACAGTTGTAACAATATTTGAATAAAATATTTACAAAACAAAAACTACGTTTTGTCTTGTGAGACCACCCTTACAGGGCCTTCCGGCCCCCTACAGCCAAGAGCAGGTAACTCTAGACCGTAACCTCGTACCTCACTTTCCATGCTGAACTAAGTCAGACAGAATGCTGGGAGGGAGGGAGGTACCCAAGGAGGAATATATTCAAAGAATCTTAAACCTCTACAGGTTAGTTCGATTCTTTTTATATATTCCTCCTTGGGGTACTTATAAGCATAAGACAGACTCCTAAAGACGGATCTCAGAAGCGGCATTCTGTCTGCTTAAACACCCCGACAAGAAGTGGAATTTCCCAAGCTAATTATAGCAGAAAAGGCACACTTACCCGGTCGCGTGTCCACCAAAGCCAATCAGGCGGGGCATGAGCCAGGGTCAGGGTTAAACGTATGCAAATTTGTCCAGCTTAAACCTCGCTAATGCAACGCGAACAAGACACACCCTCCCTCCTTCCCGTAATCTACTCGGAAGTGAAGATAAGGGTCCCTTAATAAACCCAGAAACAAAATGCCGGAATATGAACAGCAAAGTTTCCAAGGGCATTTTAGTCTAGAGCTTCTCGGTTAGAAAGCAAGAGACATGGGAATAAAAACCAGCACCACATAAAACCCATCACCAAGGGAAAAATGTAACAAGATTTGTAAAACCCAACACCAGTGTTAAAATTGGCAGATAATGGTTCACACAATAATGTTTTAAAACCTCAAAGCTCAATCGGCTAGAGAGGTGGAACCATGCCCACTGGAGAGAACTGACTGACCGAACCGAGCACGCTCACTGGAGAGTCTGTCAAGTTGGCAATGACGGATGAACGTACTCGGACGGCTCCAAATAGCCGCGGAGCAGATCTCCTCAATGGGCAGGGCTGCAGCGTAAGCTGTCGATGTAGCCACTGCCCTAACCGAATGAGCTTTCAACCCAACAGGCGGGATACGCCCTGTTTGAGTATAACTCATATGTATGGCAGAGACAAGCCACCGAGAAATGGTCTGCTTGGTCGCCGGAAGACCAGCCTGAACCCCGCCATAACAACAAAACAATTGGTTACCCTTACGGGTACCCCTTGTTCGTTTGATATAAGCCTGAAGTGTCTTACGGACATCTAAGACGGAGCGCGTCGAGAGAGGTACCGGACAGGAAGGCTGAGTGAAAGCTGGGAGCTCAATAGGGCTGTCACATGGAAGGGACTATCCTTCTTAGGACGGTAAGTCTCAGGCAGCCGAATGCTAACTCTGTCTTTGTGAAAACAGTAAGCTGGATCGGCCGACATTGCATGAATATCGCCAACCCGCCTGCCAGAAGTCACCGCCACAAGAAACGCCGTCTTCCACGTCAACAGCTGGAGGGAAAGAGCCGACAGATTGTGAAACAGTGGACCGGACAGCCAATCAAGAACGATTGACAAGTCCCACGGGGGACTAATCCGCCGGACAACCGGACGGATTCTGTCCACGCCTGCTAAAAGCACTGTACAAGAGGGTGCTGCCCCAAGAGAGCACCGTCAACAGGAATATGAAGCGCGAGAAATAGCCGTGAATATCCCGAAACAGTGGAAGCCGCTAGACCGGCTTCCAACCGAGACTGGAGGAATTCTAACACACAGACTAAATCTGTAGAAAAGGGATCAAGAATCCCCTGTTGACACACCAGCAGCGAATAACAGGCCCATCTATCCTCATATTGAACGCTTGTCGAATCCCTCCGCCGAAGCCAGAATTGTGTCTGCAACTGGTGCAGGAATTCGCCGCATGGAGGCGATCCCCTGATAGCGCCAAGCCACCCACTGAATCCTGGGATTGGTGGGGTAGCTCCGCTCTGGGATAGGAGGTCCGGTCGAAAAGGTAATAGAACAGGAGGCTGAGCCAGAAACCTGAGAATTACCGAAACCAGCGTTGTGCCGACCAAAGGGGTGCCAGAAGCACAAGTAGCCGAGCTGGTTGTGCGGTCAGCCGCGACAGGACCCTGGAAATCAGTGGTATCGGGGGGAACGCCCACAGTACCCTGTCCGTCCAATCTAGCTGAAAGGCGTCGTTGACTAACGCACCCGGATCCGGAATCCGGGAGCAAAACACAGGAATCTGGTTCGTCACCCCAGACGCAAACAGATCCACCTGGAAACGAATTCAACAACTGGGAGATAATCCCGAATATCTCCCGGTCGAGCATCCACTCGTGTGGGGCTAGTATACGCCGTGAGAGAGCATCTGCACGGACATTGTCTACCCCCGGGAGATAAACAGGCAAAACCCGAATGTTGAACTGATCGCACCACAGTAGAAACTGCCACGCCTCCTGAAGGAGCGACGGAGACACTGTGCCGCCTTGCTTGAGAATGTAAGACATGGCCGTTTGATTGTCCATTTCTAGACGAACCACACGGCCCTGCACCAACACCCGGAAGCACTCGAACACCTTGCGGACTGCTCTCAGTTCTAACACATTGATGTGTAGGCTGACCTCCTGCTCCGACCAGAGGCCGGAGGCTGAGTGCTCGCCCAGGACCCCCCCCCAACCTGTGAGGGAGGCGTCCGTCTGAACTGAGAGGGAAGGTGTCGGGGTGTCGAGGGGGATCCCCCTTGACAAATTCCCGACTTCCGTCCACCATCGCAAGTGAGGGATTAACCACTCTGGTGTTATGAGCATAATCTCAGAGCCCTGCGAAAGTGGGACCACAGCTGAGCTAATGCTTGCTGAATTGGTCGCGATCCTCAAACGCCGACGCCAAACCACGCCCACTGTCGCCGCCATGTTGCCGAGCAACCGAAGCCATGTTCGGGCCGACGCAACGGATGACTGGAGGAACTGTAGCACAGTCCTCCGGACTTTGACGATGCGGTCCGGAGCAAGGGAAACAATCCCTAGCGCCGTGTTGAATCTGGCTCCCAAGAATATCAGATCCTGCGTCGGAACGAGGTCTGATTTCTTAAGATTGATAATCCAGCCCAGTGACACTAGAGTATCCAGCACGCACAGTGTGGAGGCTCTGCTTAACTGAGGCCCTAAGGCCCGTAGAAGCCAATCTTCCAGGTACGGGTGACAACACCTGCCCTGAGACCTGGCTAACTGAGCTGGGATTAACATAAGTTTGGTGAACACTGGGGCCGTGGAGATGCCGAAGGGGAGCACGCGAAACTGGTAGCACGTCCCGTCGAAGGAGAACCGGAGGTACTTCTTGAATTCGGGATGCATTGGAACATGGAGGTATGCGTCTTTGAGATCGATTGATGTAAGCAAATCCCCTGTCTCGACGGAGGAGATCACTGACCTGAGTGTCTCCATCCTGAAAGACGGCACCTCCAGTAATTTGTTCAGCCCTCTGAGATTCAGAATGGGTCTGAACCCTCCGTCCTTTTTGGTCACGAGGAAGTAGGTGGAATAAAACCCCTCTTCTCGCTGACTCACAGGAACCACCTCGATGGCCGCCTTGGTCAGTAAAGACTGAACCTCGGCACGGAGGACATCCGGCTTTGTCGTGGGGGTCGGCACAGGCGCAGCCGAACCCCGAGAAGGACGGAGGATCGCCTCCACTGTGGCAAATGGCCATCCCTGAGCGTGGACAGGACCCAGGGATTTGAGGTGGCTGCCTCCCAATCCGGGAGGAATAGGGACAGCCGGCTGCCGACAGGGACGTGTGGCAAGAGGCAGTGCACCCCCACCGTCGGCAAGTCTCCGCTTGCGTGAGTGGGGGGCAACAAGGGCTCTGGGGAATGAATCAGTGGGAAGCCGGAGCTGGCTTCCCCTTGCCCCGAAAAGACTGCTGCGCTGGAGCAGGCTTGCCCCTGCCTCTCGAACGCCTGCTCCGCTTGGACTGCAAAGGGGCAGCCCACTTAACAACATCCTTCGCCGAGGCAGAAGGGTAAGCGGATGCAAGCGGGGAGGGCCGATGGCGAGGAGCGGAGGGCTGCTCTAACAAAGGCTTTGAGTCCTTAAAGGTAGAGACAGCCTCCGCGGACTCCCTTACCACCTGCAAGGCCCCAGGGAACAGGGAAGATCCCATGGTATAGGGCAATGACAGTAGAGCTTGCTGTGTGGCCGGCTAATATCGCGCCACAGACAGCCACAGGCGGCGCAAGCCCATGACCGCATTCCATCATCTGGCTGGCACAGCACCTAATGCTGTCCCTAGCCAGATGTGAGTGCATCGCCCCGTTAACTGCCGCTGGGCGAGCACCGACCGATGAATCGGCACCGCGCAAAGCGCCTGTGGGCCACCAGCTGTCCCTGCAACGCAGACAGGTAGGCTGAATGGATGGCTACTTTAAGTTGCTGGGCAGCGACCGGTAACATTCTTCGAATGACCGGTAGGCAGACTTCAGCGGCAGTGACGCACTAGCCGGAAAAGGGGAGGCGCTGCCCTGCCTGGCGAGGCCAGGGAGGACGAAGACGACCCTCCTAACGTGACTGAGGCAAAGACGCACTCGTACCCACCACTGGTGGGCAGGCGAAGAGCGGAACAGCAACCCGCGCAGGACTTCCTCACCTAACTGGTACCGCCTACCTACGCGCAGGTAAATCAAACGCCGAGAGCGGTGGCAGTACCAGCCAAGAGGAGCCAGGAGCGGATTCACCACCTCACTGACCAGTGATGGGAGAACTGGTCGGCGCCAGGCGTGCCTCAATGACAGGGCAAACCTGATCGCCGGCACCAGGTTAGGTCGCACCAGACGCGGCTTTTACTATGGGAGGCGCTTTGGACGGGGATCCTGTGCCCAGAGATCACCCCGCACCAAGCAGGTTGCCGTGAAAAACAGCGTGTCTAACCGCCTGCACTGAATGGTTTACAGCGAGAACATGGCACATGCCGCACACCCCTCTTCCTCATGTTCCTTCTGCACTAAACAGAGATCAGCCAAGCAGACCTCGTGGGTATCCCGTGCACGGGAATTGCAGCAGCAAGGCACGGAAGTACAGGGTTTAAACTGCAACAAGTAAAACCTGTGCAGCAATCTACCCTATACCCACATACAAATACATGTAAAAGACGCATGGGCTTACACAACTAATGCGACAAACGTAGCATGCAGTTGACAACCTAGTACACACACTGCAGCATAACTAACAATTCACGGGTTTTGGTTTTTTAGCGTAATATAGAAAATGCGAGCAGTAGACATACGCCCTACACGTACAAAGTACAAATAAAAAACCACTAAAACCACCTGTAACATTGAAAAACCACATGGGAAACCAATGAACAGGAAGGCTAGCGAAGGGACCTGTCCGCCATCTTGACATGCACTAGCGAGCCGACCGCGACAGGTACCAAGTTACAACGAAATTATGAATGAAAAATTCAGAAAAAAACTCCAATTCGCCCATGCAGGGAAAAAAGAGAACCATACATACAGTTGCAGTTTCTGAAACACTCATAACTCTCTTAGTCGCAAGGAAAAACCTTCTGGTATGGACCCACGTCTTGTCGGTACAACTACAGCATGGAAAGTGAGGTACGAGGTTACGGTCTAGAGTTACCTGCTCTTGACTGTAGGGGGCCGGAAGGCCCTGTAAGGGTGGTCTCACAAGACAAAACGTAGTTTTTGTTTTGTAAATATTTTATTCAAATATTGTTACAACTGTCGTAGGGAATTTAAATGGACATTTAAATGCTTATAAGTACCCCAAGGAGGAATATATAAAAAAGAACCCTAAATAGCAAAAGGCACTAGCCGACAACCTGGTCTGTGTGTGCATGAATGACAATCAAACTGATTGTCAGATTTCAACCAACAGCTAAGATACAAGACAATGATGTAAAAGCAGTATGGTATTTGCAGGAATCATATATGTTAACCAAATTGTAGAAACCCAGGACATGTATGGTCCTGACAGACAAAAATCACAAGCAGGAAAAATCTGATATTTGAAGCCATTAACAAATGGGTTAAAGTATATTCAATGGTAGCATCTTCTTGTTTTAATGAAATCAGGTTATCAGAATCTATCTATTCTTTTTCAAACTTGCAATTTCAAGAAAAGCCTTATTCAATTTTTGGGGGTGAAATTTTACTTTGGTCATATTGTGGCCAGTTGTGAACAATTAGTAATATTTTATGACTGCTTCATTCGTCTGTAACTATCAGCTGTGATTCAAAACAGCGAGAGTCAGTTTAGTTTTACGCAGCACTCAGCAATATTCCAGCTATATGGCGATGGTCTGTAAATAATCGGGTCTTGACCAGATAATCCAGTGATCAACAGCATGAGCATCGATCTACACAATTGGGATACAATGACATGTGTTAACCAAGTCAGCAAGCCTGACCCCCCGATCCTGTTAGTCACCTCTTACAACAAGCATGGGTTGCTGAAGACCAATTCTAACCCGGATCTTCACGGGTCAAAAATCAACATCTGTATGGAGTTATTACATAAAATATACTTACAACTTTCTTTTTGATGACCATGTTCAGCTGGGTACTACTCTTCAGGGTGACCACAGCCTGTATACAAACATAGCATCTGTAAACTGTCCTTGAACGATTTTACTCCAAATCAAGCGTGAGTGAATACGTTTTTAGCAATATTCAAGCAATATCATGACAGAGACACCTGACATAGTACCTATCTTCTTGTGAACTTTAACCACTGGGCTACCCCCATATCAAGACTCTCATATCAAGAAAAGCAAGAGAACCTGAGTCTTTTCCGACCATCAGAAATGTGTAAGTATTTCAAGCAATTATGTGTCAGCTTTCAAAAAACTTTTGCCAACCTGATCCAATGACAGTATCAAAGCCTGGTCTGAACAAAATAAGAACCTCACAAAATACAAATGTTCCTGTTTTATGCCATACAAAGTAATTATTTATTCCCCCATTTGAAACAGTACATTTACCTTAAGTTTTTTAGACACAGATATTAGATATGCATATATATTTTGCTTTTTCATACAGAGAATGTGAAGCCTCCACACTGATTGGCTGATTAGAAAGTTCACATCACCTGCTTTCCTGTGATTGGTTTGCAAATATTGTTTGCAACAGATACCAGAGGAAAAAAAGATCTGATTATAATGAGATCACAGACAATATTTCAATGAAAAAAAAAGAAAACTTATATTATTTCACAAAAACTGTCAATACTTACCTCATGCTTATAACGATACATACTGCTGTGTTTGCAGAAAAGAAAACAACAAATTTCTTGACTCCTACCAGCAAATGTCTGTATCAAGTAGGGGAGGTGACTCTACCTCTTTGTGGGTGATTCCCAGGAAACTTGTTCCATTGACCTCTACAATCTGATCCCCGACCTCCAAGTTAACCTCTTCTGCCAGTCCCCCCGGGCCGCACCTTCTCCACAAAGATTCCTGGGAAGTGAGATGGCCCACTAACAATCCTGGCAACACAATGACATATAGCTGCAATGTAGACTTTTACTGATATTTGTCTTTCATATGTTGTAGTTGTTACATGAGTCAGCAAGAGATGAGAATGGAGGAGACAGAGGAGATGGCTACTGATACCTAACTTCCAGCTTATTGCCACTGCTTAAGTTCAGTGAAGTGAAAAATAATTCTGTTCAGCGTTTTAAAAAAATCCAGTTCACCAGTAGACTTGTGTGAAGCATGTTTCATCTCAGTTCTGCTCCGAAAATGAGATCTTCCCTTAGTTTTAGTGTTCCGGTAAGTACAATTTGTCACTGTGAAACCATTACAAAGTAAGAAAGATAAATATTCCAAATTGTCACCAGTACACCACTATACTGAGCATTATCAGAGGTTTAGGGGTCAGTAATTGCGTCTGGATGAGACAGTGAAAATATTGACAACCAAAGAATCAATCAATACAACTGAACAATGATTACAGGTATATGCTATGAACCAAGTTACGACCACCTCTAACAATGACAAGCACACGTTGCTGGGGACCTATTCCAACTTGAATGTCTAATCTGCCAATCTACCAACTAAACATTACATGATTCTTGAACCAAGATTCAATGAGCAATGAAATACACAATATAAAGATAACAGGTCATATAAACCTTTTACGTCATAGCACCCATAAAACTATGTGTACCTTGAGTTTTACAACCAAAAGGTTTGTTTAAGGAAATCATATCATTACATGACTTCTTACACATTACAGGTTGGTAGGTGACTCTGTGCTTACATCTGTAAAGCTGTGCAAGGCTGACAAAGACTGTATAAACACACATACAGGGCATGGTCTGGCCTATGAGTGAGTGAATTTAATTTTACACCACACTCAGCAATATTTCAGCTATATGTCATCAGTCTGTAAATAATCGAGTCTGGACCAGACAATCCAGTGATCAACAGCATGAGCATCGATCTATGCAATTGGGATATGATGACATGTATCAACCAAGTCAGCGAGCCTGACCACCCGATCCTGTTAGTCGCCTCTTACGACAAGCATGGGTTGGTGAAGACCAATTCTAACCAGGATGTTCACGGGTATATGAATTAGTGGTTGTACTGACCCACATCCTATGGAGCTGACTCCAGTCGTGTTGATAAAGATTTTCAGCTCTGTGCCTAAGAGACCTCTCTTCTGCAATGGTTCGTCCTTGTCCAGAATCTCTTGCTGGAGTGAGAAGACATTATGTCTAAATGTTTCGAGCATTATAACTTCATTGTATTATTTCCACTTAATCCACTTATGGTGAATATCATTGTTTGGAGTTGTTCCCAGAAACATCAACAACCAGCATTCTGCCACAAAGTCCCAACACTGACAAGCATGGATGAATGGGAACTCTTGAATCACCACAAGGAGATAAGCATTGAGTACAGGGTAATTTTGATTCACGAGGAGATATGCATACAAGCATTTGGTTCTGGGAAATCTGGACTCACCATGACAAGACCAGCATGCATGCTTTTGATTCTGCGGAACCTGGACTCACCATGACAAGACCAGCATGCATGCATTTGATTCTGCAGAACCTGGACTCACCATGACGAGACCAGCATGCATGCATTTGGTTCTGAGGAACTTGAACTCACCATGATGAAACCAGCATGCATATATTTGGTTCTGGGGAACCTGGACTCACCATGATGAGACCAGCATGCATGCATTTGGTTCTGGGGAACCTGCAATCACCATTAGTAGACAAAATACAAGCGTGGTCTGTGAGGCATGTACTTGTTACTCACCAAGGCCTTGGAGGAGTCCAGAGATTCCACATAGTTCCAAAAGACTGATTCCTTGGGGCTGCTGAAACAAGTAGATTGTGGAGCTGCTGTACATGCATACTATCATGCTATACTGGAATTCATGCCTTCAATGCATTCTGAATTTCATGCAAACAATTCAACCAGGATTTCATTGAATTGATTCATACAGTATGTCATACCATAATTCCTTCATTTATAAATAAGAAGAAAACAGACATATTTATACCAAATTTCATTCATGCCAGCACGTATATTGAAGATGTGACACATACGAACTATAATTGTTATTATTACGTACGAGGACGAAAATATCGGGGTTCATATTTTTCATACGATGCCCTAGGGCAAAATATCACTTTGTCATGGTGACGTGATGTCATGAACAATGCTATGACGTCGCGTTTCTTCTATGACGTTGCGTTCTACATGCGGCGACGGCAGGTAGCCAGCCTATGTTTGGAAGTAGATTCAGGTTTATTTTCCTTAATTTGACGACTTCGGTAATAATTAGAATATTATAAATTGAATATGTGACACATATGAACTATAATTGTTAATATTAAGAACTGTATTCTGTGCTCATAATTGATGTAGATATGATCAATGCCTAATGTTGAAGCTCAACTTTTAGACATCAATTAGTTTAAGCGTTGACATGGGTGAACAATACTGTACATTACATTCCAAGTCAGTAGGGATACTTACTTCTTCACAGGAAGCATTCCAATATCTGTAAACAAATGATGATGATATCAAATATACTATTGAAAATCATTAATATTTACATTATGTGTAAGTATTTATCATTACATTTCATACTGTCTAATCGGTATCATCACAACACACCTACTGCGACTCATCACGCTTTGATAAAGACAAGTGTTGCTCATTACATCAATCACAGGCTAGTCTGGCCACAATTAGGAACATTCTGCTGCCATACAGCAGGAATAAAAGAGGAAGCTGATCGAGACATTCAAAACATCTGAAACACTGTACACTACATCCATCAGAGCACTCTCATGGATGTTATAACTGTGTACTTACGTGTGACTTTGAGGACAATTTCCTCGCGGGACTTGATGAGGTTGAGGACGTCCTCATGTATGGCTTCAGCAATTGTGTAGCCATTGACACGAACAATCTCATCTCCAGCCTGAAACACCACACAAATCATCACATTGTCTCTTACTCTGAGTATGTGAAAGGGAGAGCACAAACAATGTCAACAGAATCGGGACACCTAGCATGTCAAGATGGCAAATTATTTCCCGGATGGGACTCAACCCCAACAAAAGCACTATAATCTGTACTTTACTGAGAAAGTGTAAGTCCAAATATAACTTGTGTTACATCTGACCACTTTCTTAATGGCATTGTGTATTCATAGCTTTAGGCCGTGGGAACCGAACCAATACAACTTATCAGAGGGGCACTCAAAGTCCTTGGTCTAGACTGCTGGCGATTGGATGTGGGTTTGAATCCTGGATGGGACTCAACCCAACAAAGTACTAGAATCTGTACTTTAATGAAAAGTACAATCCCAAATATAACTTGTGTGACTGTTATATATATGTGGTTACTGATTACTGTCATGATAAATGAACAATGTAAACTTGGTCAAATAATGTAGTTCGTTATTATTTCACTAAATATATTAAATAATAAATCAACTACTGACATGTCAATATTTCCATTAGCCAATATTTGTGATATTACACAACAAGGAAATGATATGTTAAAGTGTTTCCTTTCCAGAAAACAGTGAAAAATGTGCATTGGTGCATGCCACTCAAAGAAGTGAATTGGTGCATTTCCCTCAAATTCTAATGCATGACATTCCCATGATGACATGATACAGTGACACCAGGGAACAAGGTATCAATCATTCAGTGATGGGATCCTGATTTACAGCAGTTTGACTTGTGTAGTTAACACAAACTGGTTCTGTTATAAGCCCTCTGTTGTGGGTACCAGGAGGGACCTACCTTGAGTCCTCTCTTGCTGGCCTGTGATGTAGGGTCCACGTGAGACACAAACACACCAACACCATGTTCAAACCCTGAAACATGATACAACCAAGTCTGTCATACAGACCCTGGAACACATATACCCGAAAAAGCCCATGCAAGTCTAGAACATGTGGCAAGTCTAGAACATGTGGCAAGTCTAGAATATGGGGCAAGTCTAGAACATGTTGCAAGTCTAGAATATGTGGCAAGTCTAGAATATGGGGCAAGTCAAGAACATGTGGCAAGTCTAGAATATGGGGCAAGTCTAGAACATGTGGCAAGTCTAGAATATGGGGCAAGTCTTGATTACAGCAGTTTCAGAAAATGAAGAAAGACTCTGACTTTATTTTTATTATATTTTATAAAGAGAACTTAGGACCCATTTTTTGTGTAAAGTATGCTTATTTCAGAGGCGAGATATTAGTCTAGATACAACCAAACAAACCTACAAAAGGCTCCCAAGATACACCAGTGAAAGCTGCCATTACCTATGTTGTGGCCACATCATGGTGTATTATATAGCTTTTGACGTGTAAGAAACCTCACCTGAGTCTTACAAGCCAACACTGAGATATCCCACCTCCCTCCCATATTGTGATATCTCCATTCTGTTAACTCTATATGTCCTGGACACAATCACTGTTACAGGTTTGTACTGCCTGAGTGAGTATGGTTTTACGCCGTTTTGTGTTAATATTGTGTTAAACAATAATGAGTGAGTGAGTGAGTTTAGTTCTACACTGCTTTTACTAATATTCAAGCAATATCACGGCGGGGGACACCAGAAATGGGCTTCACAAATTGTACCCATGTGGGGAATCGAACCCGGGTCTTCGGCGTGCTGAGCAAACGCTTTAACCACTAGGCTACCCCACCGCCCCAGGTTTGTATTGAGTTTTCGTCTGTTGGTGAGTGAGTGAGTTAATATTTATCGTCACATCTGCAATATCTCATCGATATTGTGACGAGAATCGACAGTTGTCTAAAGCAAACCAATGAAATTTCTTTACCAGATTTCAGCTTCTTTGTGAGAGATACAAATTAACCATTGTATGTAACTTCTTTTGTAACAACTTTTGTGGTGAATGGACTCTGGGTGTATATCATAACAGAATGCTGATACAAACTGAGTATGCAGGCAACAAAATATGACAGGAAAAAAAGTAATTGTTGTCACGAGCCAGCTCTTTTCCCAAGCAGCACTTTTTGAATCAAGAATACAAACCTGTCAACTCTGATGTTTTTGGCCTGAGTCTCACGTTCTTTTGATTAAAATCATGTTCTCATTGCCAGTATACTCAATCTCACATTTTTTCGCAAAAGTGCTTTCTAAATATTGCTAAATGATGTGTTCACCTTGAATAATGACAGTTTCCAATTGCTTGGAGCTAAAATCTAAGCCCGGATACAAGGTGAATTCCTATTGGCTTGCTGGTCATGATTCAGCCCTGGACCCGAACGGGACCTGTAGCCCCTGGACCAGGCTTTTAATGGTTCTCACTACTTGGACACATTTTTGGTTGACAGCTATGTTAATATTTATACATTTCTATCAGTCATAGGTGTGAGCTACAAAACAAATAATTGTTATTATGTTATGAATTTGGGTTCACTTGGACATACACCACCAAAACAAGACTGAATAATACAACATTGTTCCCTGTAGGAGTGACTTACCTCCCCTGACCGCAAACCCGAGAGTTTCTCCAGCTTGGCGTTTGAGTCGGATGACCCTGAGTTTGATGCCTGGAGTCTGCGGGGTTTTCTGGCTGTACTCCAGCTGGTGCTTGGGCATCACAAGCGGTCTGCGGGAGACACTCATGACTCTTACAACAGTTCATCGGATTACAGTGCAGCCATACTCAATAAACTGAGACTGAACAGAAACCCAGGTACATAATGCATAAACTGAATCCAATTCAGGCAAATCAGGGTGCTGTTGTACGCAGCAATCTTAGGGCTAAGGTGATCGTAGCACCCATACCTTAACATAGAGTTACGATTGTCGTAGCGCTAAGGTTGCTTTGTACAACAGCACCCTGGAACTTTATGCATGAGCAACAATCCCTGAGATCCAGGTAAAGTCACAGGCTGTCAGAGAAATTGGGTTTGACACCTTGTTCAAATGAGTGAGTGAGTGAGTATGGTTTTATGCCATCTAAAGCAATATTCCATGGCAATATATCATGGCAGGGTACATCAGAAGTTGGCTTCACACGCTGTAGTCATGAGGGGAATTGAACCCAGATGTTTAGTGTGACAAGCAAATGCTTTAACCACTAGATTACCCCAACATCCCTCTTGTTCAAGATCACTACAACTCCCATGAGAAGGTTAAACATGGATCATTCTGCTAAGACGCTGTGTACTTATTCTGTGACAGTCATTCCTTGTTTTATCCCCTGAATGGACTGTCATTGTGCTTCAGGACATTCATTCATCTTTCAGCCAAGGAAGACAACTACCTGATGTGTTCATACAGCTCCAGTTTAGAAGGTTCATTCAGAAGCCTTCTCAGCTCGGTAAGCAGATCATGCAGCTCCTGGGACCTGAAGGACAGGAAGAAACAGTGAGTGAGTGACTTGGGTTTGATGCTACTTTAAACATGGATGAAACCACCCAACAGTTATGAAAAATAAATGTACAAATCATCTCAGAAGCTTGTTCTTCAACTTCTTGTTCAAAACATTGCTCTGTTTTCACCAGTGGTGTCCATAACATGAGTGAGTGAGTTTAACGCCACTTTGATTAACATTCCTGCATCATCACGATGTGTCTGACTGATGTGGGAAAACCCAAAATGATGCAGGTCCCAGACATGTTTCACTTTTGTCAAACCCACTAACAAACCCTCAAACATAACTGGGACCAACCGGAATTCAAATCTACAACCATGGGCTCGTAGCATGCACAAGGTAGACAACTCCGCACAGCGTCTCTGAATATATATAACTTTGATAGTAACAAATAAACCCATTTAAATTAAGAGGGAGACCCAGTGAGATGGGAGATCCTGAACCTGAGGAAATCAAGATTTGCTTCATTTATGGCTTTAGGCAGGAAATGCTAGGCAGTAGGGGAAATAATGTGATTCCAGGACTGAGAGACAGACTACCCATGGCCCGCTATCCCAGCACCCACATCCCTGACAATAAGAAGATAGGAGACCCAGAAAGTTGTCTGTGGGATTCACTGAAGTTTATCAATGATGGATGACATACCCATTATAGATGGGGATTACAATGTAACACTGCAGCCTTCACTTGCCCAAGACTAATTAGTTGGGCTGAGGACCAGCAAGACTGTGATGTTTGTCACCCTCATTGACCAGAAAAGTTTGAGGGCTATAAATGTGAACCAGTTCTTAATGCTTCAAACCTGTTACATATTTGAAGTGAACAAAACTGGCACACAATGATGAACACTCATGAGGCTTCCACAATCAATCTGGACTGGTCTTTGAAAGAAATATACTAGTATTCCATGAACTACTGATGAAAAGGCAACCACTGTCATCCAAATTTTTTATTCCATTTCTTACCAGAATTGAAATATTTGTCCCATGTATCACACAATTTACATTTTGTTCTAAATTCACCAATTCAAATGGTTATGCACGAGGCGACTAACATTATCAGGTGGTCAGGATCGGGTGGTCAGACTCGCTGACTTTGTTGACACATGTCATCATATCCCAACTGCGTAGGTCAATGCTCATGCTGTTGATCACTGGATTGTCTGGTCCAGACTCAATTATTTACAGCCGCCGCCATATAGCTGGAATATTGGTAAGTGTGGCGTTACACTAAACTCACTCACTCACTAATACAGTGCTTCTCAGATGATTCACAGTGTAATTATTTGAATCAATGCACAATTTTGCTTGAGTACCAGATGCAGTTATCTGCATTGAGTAAAATTCTCCCATTTCAATATTTTCACTAAAACTGTCAAGTTGAAGTTTTTGATATTCCGGGTCAGAGTGTTTGAGTTGCAGTAGTTTGAAAGGTTGCTCCAGAATGTGACACTTGTTATCACAGATTCGGCTTAGGCTGCCATGACATTGACCCAAAGGTAATGTGGGTTATCGGTGACGCTCAGCTCTCATAATCTACAGATATTACTAACGTAATTCAAATAAGCCTAGAAACTTGATAAGACTTTGTTGTAAACGGCATGTCCTAGCATACCAAAGAACCGTAGTCGACATATCAAATGATGTGTGCAATGGTTCTAATACAAAGAGGATAAAGAAATATGACACCAATTAAACATGTTAAATATCATATTCATAAAACTTTAGCCTTAGTTCAAAATTAATCATGAGAGACAAGCAGTGCTTGTCAGAAATCTTGTTTAACTCTAATGTTCAAATTTGGGGAACACAGATTCAAATGCAATACAACTTGAAGCACTCCCCTCTGTTTAATTTAATGCGCTATTTGGTGGCTTTTCAGCAGAAGAGACAAATATAATTTTAAAGGGATCTGACAACATGTGCAGGATTAGAATACCCTCCCTTTAATGGATCCATTATCATTTCTCGACCTGTCTGTGAAACAGACCAGTTTGTTTGCAACATGTCTCAGTCAAATAGACCTGTGAAGATCCGGGTTAGGACTGATCTTCAGTAACCCATGCTTGTCATAAGAGGCGACTAATGGGATCGAGTGGTCAGGTTCACTAACTTGGTTGAGACATGTCATCAGTTCCCAATTGCGTAGATTGATGCTCATGCTGTTGATCACTGGGTTGTCTGGTCCAGACTCGATTATTTAAAGACTGCCACCATATAGCTGGAATATTGCTGAGTGCGGCATAAAACTCACTCACTCAGTCAAATAGCATAACTTCAGAATTAATCCACTATCTAAAGCCACAGTAAGCAATACTTCAGATGTATGAAACAGAACTGGTCCCCAGAATACCAACTGGAGGACATGCAGGAGTCTAGGCAACCTTTTATGCCCTACAATTATTTCTGAAAGACAGCAACTGGTACCAGGGAACTACACTATCCCCAAATCTCCACAGGAAGATACGCAAGGGGTACCGGGGACCTACACTTCCCCCAAATCTCCAAAGGAAGACAGCAATGGTAGAAGGGACCTACTCTTCCTGGGAGGCCCCACTGGGAGACAAACACTAGCCGTACTGGGGACCTGGTATGCCCCAGACTCCTTCTGGGATTATGTGTTCAAATTTCAAGCAGAACAAAACACTAAATACATTAAATATGGTAAGGGCTGTTTATCTGATTGCCACAAAAAATTGCAAACTATTGATCAATTATTTGTGCATTCAGCATGTTCAGGATGAGATTAGTGTTATCCACCTTAGGTATGCAACATACTTGCATTGGGCCTCATTGCATAGCACAGTCTATCCGTGTGTTTGTACAGAGGTGGTTTATGACAAATTAAATGCAACCTCAAACAAAGATCAATCGGTTACTGCAGACAACATTCTTGGTGCATTCCTATTAAAACAATAAAAAGAATGATAAAAGCAGTATATCCATGAAGCAATAGCAATTTCACAATTTAAATGAGAATTCTAAGCAGGAGGGAAAACAGTTTTTTTTCACTTTTCATGTGGATAACGTTAAAAAAAGTTGATACATATTCAAGACAAGGTCAGCATTTATTTGACTACTTTAATCAATGCTGATGTTACTATTGTTACTGACTGTCAAAGCGAGAAATGTTAAAAGTGGAAAAGTATAAGACAATGTTGTAATATTTTTACCTATTTATTCTGGCTTTAAAATATTCTTTGATGTCAAAACATTGAGATTATACAACAAGTCCAGGCTTTCTGCCAATGAAAGCTGGAAGTTGTCAGGAATTGCTGTATATGTTCTTGAGATCCATAAACACAACAGAAGAATCAGTGATATACGCATGAGATCCAACTGCTTACTAAACTGACAACAAATACAAAATCATGAACATTCAACTGATGAAAGATAGGATTATAGAGGGGTAGCTAATTTCTGTTCATGCCCTTCGGATGATTTCTGTATCTGGAATTCAAACCCATGATTACCTGATCCTGACAACCAAGGGACACAACTCTTCACAAGGCATTGCATTCTAAAAAGGCCCAAGGTCGCCCTTAAACCTTATCTACCTACCTACCTTGCATTCTAAGACCACTTGACCACCTGTGCCATCCAAATATTGACAATGATGTTGTCATCATTAAACACCGAAGTGCTCACATATCAGCTATAAAAGTGAGTGAGTCAGTTTAGTTTAACGCCGCCTTCAGCAATATTCCAGCTATTACAGCGGCGGAATGTTAATAGACATTCCAGTGATCAACAGCATGAACATTGATCTATGCAACTGGGATACGATGACATGTGTCAACCAAATCAGAAAGCCTGACTACCCGATACTGTTAGTTGCCTCTTATGACAAGCGACCGCCTCCGTGGTGTAGTGGTTAGAGTGTCCGCCCAGAGAGCGGAAGGTTGCGGGTTCGATCCCCGACCGCGTCATACCAAAAGACGTTAAAATATGGTACTTGTTGGTCCCTGTCTGGCGTTCGGCATTAATGGGTACATCAAGGACTGGTCGGCTCGGAGTCAGTATAATGTGTCTGAGTGGGGTATTCATGCTTCACTGCGGCGTGGTATCTCAGTGGGCTAGCACTATAAAACCAGCTTCAGTCTGGGCTAGTACAAGCAGCCGCACATACACATACACATGCATGCACGTCGTCATATGAGCGAAATATTCTCAAGTACGACGATAAACCCAATTTCACCTCACCTCATCTTATGACAAGCATGGGTTACTGAAGACCAATTCTAACCTGGATCTTCAGGGATGTGTGGGATCAGAGCTATAACAGTGTGTTTATACTAATTAATATGATGCCAAGTGTCTGTTGTGTACTTACGACTGATAAGTCCGAAGGGATTCAAAGATCTGTTCCCTGTCGCTTTCATTGGGAATGAGTTCTTTCACCTGTAAAAATCATCAAATGAAATAATTTCAAACATCTGCATTTCCACAGTTCAGTGTATTTCACTGGTTAACAAAGCAATTATTTTAGCACTTAAGTCTCCATAACCTGCAAAGAAATAGGCCATGCCAACAAAGACACTGTTGTTTCCTGACTGACTTAAATTGAATGGGTGTTGCATGAATGAGTGAGTTTTAGTTTTACGTCGCTTTTAGCAATATTCCAACAATATCACAGGGAGGGACACTAGAAATGGGATTCAAACCTTATACCCATGTGACGGAATCGAACCCGTGTCTTCGGCGCCCTAGTATTGCATGAAGTGGAGTCATTCATTTCATGGTGTTGTCTATAGTTATTAGTGTGTTATTAGTATAAATAAGGAGTCTGAATTTTCCATATTTTTTACACATATATTTATAAGAAATGACTTCAACTTGTTTTCACATTTATGGGAACATAACTGCAAAAACCAGGGTATATCATTATTTAAATATATTTGTAATTTGTAATACACAAGGACAGATACATGAGGTACTGGGGCTGTACAGATTTACACCATATGCACACAGAGTGTTACAGCTTAACGTATTTCAAAGCATCAGATAATGAAGTCAGTTCTAACAAAACATGGCAGAATAAGTTTAAGTTTAAAGTAGACTTTGAATATTAGAATTTATTACAAAACATCATAAATATTTTTTGGCCAAATACAGTATAAATCCTTCAAACCACCATGATAATGGCTGAGGGACATGACAAGTCTATAAATCAGCTGCAGAATGAAATAAACCAGCATGAACTGTGTGTGCTACTAAGTTTTCTTTATTATACATCTGTAAGTGTGACTCATCTCACATTATTTTTCTTCTCCAAACTGCAATGTTACCCATCTCACAGACAGAACAGTTTATAGCTGGAGGCATGTATCAGAATTGCATTATCGTTTATGAAGAACTTTTTGACAGATGACTGGAAATTGCCACAAGACTATCCCCGTAGGCTATAAAACAGTCTACCATCCAACAACACACTGTTGGAAGCGCTAAGCATCAAGTTTACAAAGGCTATAGGCTAATAGGTACTTTAGTTTTAAAATGACATCCTGACTTTTGACACCATCCCTCAGGGTCATGCCCATTGTTTGAAAACCAACAAGGATCTTGAAATTGATCAACAATCTGTTTAAAGAAAGGGTGAACTGCAATATAACCTGTATGTTCATTTAGGACAACAAGCTAAGGATAACCAAACACTCAAAACACGGAGAGGCAGAACACCAGATAGAGACAGCATATTTCATGGGGGAAATTCTCAACAAAATAGGAGAAAGTTGTAATACATCTGAAAATATCAACATAAACTGTAAAATTCATACTGTCTGTGACTTATTTTTACAAAGCATGCTTATTGCATTAATCTCGCATGAGTGTTACCATGGTTATAGAATGATTTAGCAGGTGTAAAATTTGAACCTGCTATCAATAATGTGACTGTGGTATCACCCTAATATATCTATGGACATAAATCAAGAACAACTGCTAAATGTTCAAATCTACCAAGGAAACGATATGTTACAAAAAAATAATATATCTATTGCAAAACCAGGAAACAGGATAAATATTCTGTTTGAACAAATGCAAGATTCAAAATTTGTTGCCTAAAGATAACGAGTCTTTACATAAAATACACAAAATATCCTCACAACCAAATTAATTCCGATACTTGAGTACAAATACATCTGAAAAATTGACAAAGCCCAAAAGTATAACTACAGTGCTTCAGTGCCAAATTGGGGCAGTGGGGTAGCCCAGTGGCTAAAGCATTTGCTCATCACACTGAAGACCCTGGTTCGACTCCCCACATGGGGACAATGTGTCAAGCCTATTTCTGGTGATCCCGTAATGTTATTGCTAGAATATTGCTGAAAGTGGCATAAAACCATACTCACTCACTCATTACCAAATGACTTTTCTGACTGTGTGCCAAAATACCCTGCAGATGTTTGTTTACTGATCAACTGTACAGATCGTGTATTCATGATTAATGCACAAAAGAGATGCATCTTGCTACAGCATGCATGGTAACAAAGACAAGTCTAGCTGTGACACACTTAGGGCAGCACAAGAACACAGGAATTAAATATGAGAAGAGTACTGAATTCACCTTAGTAACATGCTGAGCCTCTGAAAAGATTTATTAACAAAACATATCGCTTTAAATTTCAATAAATTTTCAGTTTTGAAATTAGGGAACGTTCATAATTTATGGCTATGGGTGGGGTGGGGGTGTGATGATGATTTTTATTGAGAAGCATGTACAATGTGAATGACCCCCCTAAAATTTGAGTACAAAGTAAGTGACACCCCATCCCCCCTTTCATGTCATGTACAAAATCAATGACCAGCCCTTCCTATCATTTTTAAGCATGATATTTAAATCTATTTATGTACAAAATTTATGACCGCCCTAGTACATGTGTACAAGACTGATGCCCCACCCCCTCCCCAGAACAAAATGGGTGGAAAAAAAACCCCACCCCACCCACACACACACATCATCATCATACCCCTAGCCATAAATTATGAACGGTCCCTTATGTCAAATGGAATCTACATATATCTGTAATATCTATGGAAATTATGTAATGAAAAGTTCAGAAAGCACCACAATACTCCTTATATGTTTTATCTTGGACAAAACATTAATACATTTAATACCTGAGCAAAATTTGTGCCCCAAATCTCTGAGGGATCACTTCAGCACATTTTAGAATCAACATACGGTACCATCTGAGATGAAGATAGCAGACCAATAACAATTGTACAAACTTTATGTTTCTCACAAGTGTCTATGGTTGCAGACTGTAATATATTCTTTATAAATATGTCAAACTTCAATTAATATATTTTTTCAAACTGAAAAGGTCTCACCTTTCGCACAAACGGTTGATACATTGTTAACTCCCAGTAATTTCTCAGAAAGTGACAAGATTCCGGGGCTATATCAGGTACAAATACCAGTGGATATGATAATTGTATGGACTTTACCACACCAGGTGTGTAACCTACAGGTCAGGTGTTTCATTGACTGATACGTCTTGTATCAATATCTGTAATTAGATATCTTACATACTTATCATATCTTTTTATATCAAACACTTGGATTAATATTCACACATATCATCTGTACCAAAGATCATGAAGAGCACAACAAGAAATATAATTTAAACTTTAAATGCTTTCGGTTGTTTTCTGTGTTAACTCTTTGCCTATTTTTATGAAACCTTTGATCATGTAATATGCTAAGATGGTTTTAATTGATAACATTTTCAAAAGAATTTGGGGGCGGCCTAATGGTTAAAGCGTTCGCTCATCATGCCGATTGATTTCCCACATGGGTACAATGTGTGAAGCCCATTTCTGGTGTCTTCCTCTGTGATATTGCTGGAATATTGCTAAAAGCGGCATAAAACTAAACTCACTCACTCACTCAAAAGAATTAAGTAATGTTAAAAACGAAGATATTCTCTGATATTTCCTTACAAACATATGAACATTATGGTAATCTGTATTTTGAGGCCTTACCTTTTGAGTGAGTGAGTGAGTGAGTGAGTGAGTGAGTGAGTGAGTGAGTGAGTGAGTGAGTGAGTGAGTGAGTGAGTGAGTGAGTGAGTTTAGGTTTAGGCCACACTCAGCAATATTCCATTTTGAGTAAGAGAGTGAGTTGGGTTTTACGTCACTTTAGCAATATTCCAGCAATATCACAGCGGCAGACGGGCCTTTGGCATGACGAGTGAACACTTTAACCGCTGGGCCACCCCACCACCCACCTCCATTACTTTTTGTCATTTCAATTTGAATATTGCATGACATTATAGACAACGTTGCGTTTGAAGTGTACTATGGTCCTCGCCCTATAATCATTAAATAACATGGTTAAACATTAATACTATGATGCTCCACATAACTGAAAATAACTTTCCTGTCTACATAAAACACAAAAAATATTGTTTTTGTATTTACCTATATTTACTTAGTATTTGGATTATTAACAGCAGTTTACATGCATACAGTCGTTTTTATTATGTTACTGGTACTAGTACCGAAAAAGCATCAGTTGACTTTGGGTTTAAGAAATTCTTTGTCTCCTTTTTTGAGAAAGACGGCATAGCCTTGAGAGTTGATCACTGGATTGTCTGATCCAGACTTTATCATTTACAGACCGCTGCCATATACATGTAGCTGGAATATTGCTGAGTGTGGTGTTAGCAACAAAGAAACAAACATAGCATTTAGAAGCCAGGGACAAAATATTTCTTGCCCTTGTCCAAAACAATATTAATGGAAGGTGACTCTCCCTTACTAGATTGACAATTTTATCACTACATGTATATTTATATCTCTTTATTTTTAACATTATAATAATAATACTTTAAAAAAGACACAGCTTTGTTGTTTAATGCCATACTCTGCAATATTACAGCTATGTGAAAGTGGTCTGAAAATAACCGAGTCCAGACCAGACAATCCAGTGATTGATATCATGAGCATTGATATATGAAACTGGGATATAATGGCATGCATCCACCAAGTCAGAATGCCTACCAGTCAGCATGTATTAGACCAGTTCTAACCAGTATCTTCAATTCATATAACAATAACTAATTTGTTTAGCTCTCATTTTTATTTATCAGAATCTTATAGAAAAAAACAAACTTTTGTCATTTAATCAAAACCAAACATGACAAAGGCAGTCAGATGACAAGCAACGAAATGGTATTTTTCAAAAATAGAACTGTATAAATGCTATGAATCTAAAATGGAAGTCTCTTTTCAGATATGTAAAGCCTTGGTAACCAACCAAGTGAGTGAGTGAGTATGGTTTGACGCCACTTTTTGCAATATTCCAGCAATATCACAGCGAGGGACGCCAGAAATGGGCTTGATGCATTGTACCCATGTGGGGAATCGAACCCGGGTCTTCGTCATGACGAGTGGACGCTTTAACCACAAGGCTACCCCACCACCCCAAAGTGACAGTTGGCCACTTGAGTGAAATGAGGTGAAGTGGGGTTGAATGTCACATGCATGATGGCTTTCCTCATATAGTGACATGCATGCACATGTGTGTGTGTGGCTGCAGGTATTAGTCAGGACTAATGCTGGTTTTGTCATGCTAGTCCACTGATACCATGCTGCAGTGTAACATGGATACCCCACTCCAACACCGTATACAGTATGGGGGCGTGGTGGGCATGCGGGCTAAGGCGCCAGGCTAGTGATCCAGCGAGGTTGTTGGGATCGAGCCCACCTGTGACCGGGTGTAAAAACCTTGGAGTCAACTTTGTGTGCAGACCCTTTCAGTGTTGTCACAGACCCTAGTGTACAGTACACAACCCTGTGCACTTAAAAGAACCCACGAATCCGTTGATATATGACCAGATGGTGGCCACATGAATACGTGTAAACACCTAGTTGCGGGTACAGCAACGTGCAGTGAACTTGGACAAACTACTGTGACTATGTGTCCCAGTCAACCCAGCTGTGAATGGGTACCTCGTTAGGATGAGAAAGCCACAAAAATTCTGTGGGCCTAGTGGCTGCAAGAGTTGTATACTCCTCAGATGGATAATACGATGTGCCGTTGAGATTGACATCCAGTGATCGAGGGGAAAAAATCCAAGCGCCTTGAGTAAGCACTACTTGCCTGGATATGTGCGCTATATTAATATCCTATAATAATACTCTGTCCAAGCCAAAAAGTCCTTGTTTTATCCCCTACCGCGAGACCAGACAGGGTCACAACAACTACCATCTTTCAATGCAGTGAGTGAGTGAGTTGGGTTTTATGTTGCTTTTAGCAATATTCCAGCAACATCACAGTGGGGGGCCACCAGAAATGGGCTTCACACATTGTACCCATGTGTGGAATTGAACCCGGGCCTTTGGCTTGAAGAGCGAAAGCTTTAACCACTAGGCTACCCCACCACCCTCTTTCAATGTAAGTTGTTATGACACTACTGGGAATCAAATCACAGAGAAGATGGCCTATCCGCTACACCACCACTGTCGTCAACGTGGGTAGTTGACATAATGTTATATCGTATGAGTCACAGCAAACAGTCAGTCAACATGATAAAACATCAAACAAAGATATCAATCATTTCAAATCATCTATTGCAGATTTCAAACATCTCATACTACCTTGAACAATTACATAAAATCATATAATACCTTTATATAATAGATAATACCTACATGAATTCATTGGAGATTCATCATAAACACAAGTCTAGCAGCATGTATAAAGATAATGTACAAAAATACAGACATTCAAACAAACAGGATGAACAAATAAGGAAACTCCAGCAAGCTTACCTTCTCTGTGAAAAGTACATTTCCTGTTAATGACACCATTGCATGTAAAATGATGACGAAATTTATGTTTCCGAGAAAACAGTAGACCAAGACTTAGTAGCACTAAAACGACAGCAACAAATGTGCTATCTTTTATCGAGTGAGTTTGACAACTGCACTTGTATCTTGATATAAGGAAGGCCTCACAGAATGGAGGTTTGGCTGCTATGCACTGTTTCAATTTAACTGTTTACAGACTGAAGACACTGACGTCTGCTCACTCCTGTCTGCTTGCTCCGGGCTCTGAACAATTTTAACAGCGATCAGTTACCTACTTTAATGGGTGTTTATTAAGCTTGCCTTTGAGTGAGTTGTAGTTAAAGACAGTTATTGCCAATTTGTATACAGTAAACCAATATCTACTTATAATGAATGTGTGAAGTAATTGTTCAAAGTACAGTACAGGTTAACTGGTTATGTTTTCACTAGCCAATATAAGATATGAGTAGCCATTTTCAAGGGGCAATCTCTCCGAAAAAGAAAGAGTAATTTTATTCAATTTTAATCAAGGTCAAATTGTAAAAGTGTACATTGATGTTAATGTCAACCAATGGATTGTCCAGTCCAGACTCAATCATTTACAGACCACCTCATTATACAGCTGAGAGTGTATACATATGTCAGCACCAATAACAATGTTTCCCGGTTTGGTTCTCATGTGCCATGTGGATAACATACAAGTACACGGACATTACAACCTCATAATCACAAGGACATAGACACAACAGCTCGATAGTCAGGGGTACCGGTGTTACGATTCACTTGCATATATTGAGAATCGCTTTGAATCCCTCCATGAATTCAATTTGTTATTTATGGTAAGTAGAATCAATTATTCATGAATGTTTTAAAGAAAGAGCGTTTTTACTTAAAATCAGCTGTTACTTATCAAAGTGAGATATGTAAAATGGAACAAATACAAGCAATGCACTAGCCTAACTTGTGTCACTTTGCCAAACATCTGTCAACCAAAACATCAGGCAATAAGATGTAAGTTGTGACAATGTGGTGAAAAATTGTCAAATAAATTTTTGATTCTTTCACTGAATATCGAAAACAATAATTTAACTGAAGCCTCGATATTGTATTCATGATTAGATATTTGTTTTTATTCACTTTCTGTTTATAACATATTTGCCTCATAGAGTATTTGTTGCATTCCTCGTGTTTGGACAAATATTAAGATCCAAGCCAACCAGTTTCATTACAAAACAAAAAACACTGTACCTCACATTTAGATCACATCCATTATAGTCCCCAAAAACAGTGTAACCATCTAACTGGATATGAACATCATTACATGAATAAGAAAACATTTTGCTTGAAGTGTCACAGTTAAATTAAATAAAATCACAATTTTCATGAATGAAAATTGGAGTCATTTCACATCTATTATACTTAGAAATAACTTTATATATCCAAAGCTGAGTTAAAGAATATACAGAACTAGAATTGAGTGCTGGATTCTGGATTCATTTGGGGATATATACTACCCATCAAAAGTTTAGAATCTCTAGTGTAAATGTAGCCACTTACTTCAATCAACTGTTCTAAATTAGAATTTGCAAAAAATCCATACTTTTTAAAGGTACTGTTTACACATGAACTGATATATTGTAAAACATATTCGTAACGTTGACAAGATTATTGTCATGAGTTCAATAACTGGTGAAACTCAGTGAAAATTGGCGAATTCTTAACAAAACTCAACACCAAAAGGCATCTGTGCACATGCAAGATATTTGCACATGCGTTTCACCAATTTGATGTATGATCCTATTGCAACACATCTGCTTAGGGGTTTGCAGTTGGTTCCCCCAGGATGTAGACAATATATATATATACATAACATACAGTGAGTTCTTTAAGTGAGTCTAAACTTTTGATGGGTAGTATATTTTGCAGTCTGAGCACACAACTATAAATGGAGTTTGAATCATGTCACGATCCCTGTTTTGTTCTGTATAAATTAACACGTTGACTTTAACACATGTATTATCAAGGGCTTGCGATCATATATTGATGTTATTTATTGGCGGTGAATTACTGACAATGATTTACTGCCCTTTAAATAATATCAGTCTAGTTGTACACGCCCTGCAGTAATCTCAGGAGTCGCTATCTGATACAGACTATAGTAAACCAACCAGCTGTTACACCGCTGTTTAATCAATAGACGCAGAGATTGCACGCCGCCCTTCGCCAACAGACTTGCTAGTGCTAGAGTCAGTGTTTGTGGACAGTTTATCTAGGATCAGCGAGGTTGTTACCTGTGTAATGATTAGATGATGCCACAATGCTGGCTATTGTTTAGTGATAGCACGATATGTTCGGCACGGGTCTACTGGAGTCGGTGAAACTATGACAACATGGTTACATAACTTTACATCACCGACAGCATCAGGATGTCTCTGGAGTCAGATGCAGAAATTCTAACAGACATGTTTGTGATATTGCAACGGAATGTGTTGTGTCTTCGGTAGCATGGCTTCAGGATGAGTGATATATGTTGTGGGACATGTTGCTGAATATCAGATATGGCAGCAAGACGTCATGCAGTTTCAGAAAGTTTGCTTCTGTTTTCATTACTTTCTGCTGTTTGTGACATTTGATGTTGTGTTACAGTATCTGATGATTCTTATATTTAATCACTGATCATGGTGATGTTTCTCCAAAATTTGTGATTTTTCTGCTAAATCATTTATTTCTTCTAAACCTGCAATGTTTCAGCTAATATTTCTACAAAACTTGTGCTGTTTTCTTAAACCTGTGATGTCTCTGCTTGCGATGCTTCTGAATGTATATTATTTCTGCTAAATCTGTGATGCTTCTACTAAACTTGTGCTGTTTTTCTAAACCTGTGATATTTCAGCTAAAGATGCAATGATTTTTGTAAGCATGTGCTGTTTCTGCTACTTCAGTGATGTTTCTCCTAAACCTGTGATATTTCTGCTAAATTATATGCAATGCTTTTTGTAAACATGTGATGTTTCTGCTAAATCAGTGATGTTTCTGCTAAATCAGTGATGTTTCTGCTAAATTTGTGATATTTCTGCTAAATCTCTGATGCTTTTCTGAATCTCTGATGATTCATTTAAATCAGAGATGAAGTTTCTATAAACGTGTGATTTTGTTCATAAATCCCAAATGCTTACTATGAAATATGTTTTACTGTTGAAATGTGATGCTTTTAAGTATGTGATACTTTCTAATCATGTCTCATTGCTGCCTCTGAATCAGCAAAACCTTTTCTTCTAAAAATGCTAACTACGCTAAACCATGAGGTGATCCTTCTTAACCTGCAACACTGGCTGAACTTTATTACTAAATGTGTAAAGATGAATTACTGCATGAATCAATGGAGACATCAAAAACCAATTACTGTTAATACGATAAAAACTAATAATATTCAAATCATGGACAATTAGCCTTTTCTCTCATAAACCCATGAGTATCAATCACATACACAATCAATCTTATTCATTTCGTGGCTTAATTGCACATGGGATAATTATCACATCAGAAAATTCAGATTCTTAAATTTTTAAGTATTCAAAGTAAGGTTAATCTAATCATTTAATAATATTTTAATCACTAATCAAATGTTATATTCATAGGAAACTTTTAAGAATTAATTCAAGATCTGGAGAGAAAGTAGGGATATCTTAATCCATGGTTCTTAACTAATTATTAATAAATTAATCAGAAAGTTAACAAAGTTTACCAGTGAGAGAACATTCTGTCTCCCGGACTCCAGAGAACGGAAAATGAATCAAACTCAAGTCTTACAGGAATAGGCAAGTCTTGACTGCCTCAACTCAAGCTGAAATTAAGCATTATTCTGGGTTCCAATTTCATTATCTTTTTTCTTTTATCTACATGTTAAAATTTATATTATATTTTAAATGAGACAGCTATATTTCTGAAACCCGCTGTTACTTTCTGGAGTGAACAGAAAACACGGTCAGTACAGATTGTCGATACTGGAGGCCAAGGTGGATACTTGTGCAGTGATAAACATGACAAGAGGAAAACTTGATAACACTTATCTGTCATGTATTATACATCCTCAAAGTCATATTCTCTACCTATCAACATGATCATTATGTTACAGCTACAATTAATACCTGTGTTTACTCATATCTGTCAGACATGATCAGGCCAGTTCATTCAGAATAAGAAAATACAGATATCCACTGTATGGATCCACTGACTCACCTCAAGAAGTGTACTTGTGAATTCTCCACATTTGTAAAATCTCTATTATCTATTGTAGAAACGTTTACAGAACTTAACTTCGTCAGTAATCCTTAATACAATGGGTTAATATACTTAAAAATATACCTGGGGAAATATACAATAAAAAATTGGTTATAGGTACCAATCAGCTGATCAAAATTCTTTGTTTGTTTAAATGTGTGAGCTCATCATGTTGAAGACTAGGTTCAAGTCCCCACATGGGTACAATGTGTGAAGCATATTTCTGGTGTCCCCCTGCCGTGATATTGCTGGGGTAATGCTAGTAAAAGCTGCATAAAACCAAACTCATTCACTCATGCTTTTTGAAAAAGTACCATCTTTTTATCTATATTTATTCATTTATACAGTTACCAAAAAAGTGATCCATATTAAACTTTCATTTATATGTGAACTAAATACATGATAAGTCCCTTGTGTATACTGCAGGGATTCTGCACTAAAATCTGTCCCCAGCAACCGATGAGCTGGGTTGTCAGACTCACTAACTAGATAATTGTGAGTCACATACTCCAATGGCATGGATAACAGCAAATAATATCAATTGATTGACTGTCTGGTATAGGATCAATTACTCACAGACCACTTTATTATTGCAGCATTAAACAACAACAATAAATCAACCAAAACATGCTTCGGGTTTTTAATTTCTCCCTTTTCTATGTTACTGTTTATGATAAAAAGCGACAGTTTTGCTTCAGCTATACTGAAAAATGTAGGGAATGAGTGTCCCACTTAAACTGAAAATAGTGTTTCCCCCAGGAATTAAAAAAGGACAGGGTGACAGAATTTCAAAAGGGGCACCCTTATTTCAATAAGGGCACGTAATGACAGATTTCCAAGTATTATGTTAAGTTATTCATAATGATTCTTTAAGGCTCAAAGAACACAGTTATATCAATTAACTTCAATATGAA